TATTGGAATACAGCTTTGCTTCTTCATTTGCATATTGTCTGTGGCTGCTCTGGCACTACAATGGCAGAGTTGAATAATTCCAACAGAAACCATATATCCCAGAAGACCTAAAATACTATCTGGCCCTTTACAGAAAATTTTATCTCTGTTTTAAGAGTGATTAGCAATTAAGCAAAGTTCTTCCGTTCTGTTTTTGCCCATTTATATCTTTTAGTGTGATTGTTGACCCAGTTATGTTTCAAAGAGCTTTAGTCAAGTTGGAAGCCAACATTGCTCTCTCCTTCAGCCCTCCCTTTACTTGTGCTCCTGCTCTCAAATTTGTTTTTTTTTTTTTTTTCTAAATACATCTCCTTTTGATATGTATACTCACTCTTCTTTTCTTGCTTTAATAGTTGACACTAGGGCCCATTACTCTTTTTATCTCTCTTGAAGTATCCATTCTCCCTACTGGTGCTAAAAGTATTTTATAGTTTTTTAGGTGAATTTTTAAAGCTATATGGGAATAGAATGATGATTGTGAGATGAAAGTGATTTAACAGGTTTTTCTCTTATGCAGGGATCCTTTTTTAACTTTATTGGCCAGACAAAACCAAGGTGAGGGGAAATATTAGGCAAACTAGGGTGGTAAAAAAGTTTACTGTAATGCATACCAGAGAGAAGCAAGGCTAGAATGGGGAGCTCAGCATGTTTTCTGTTGTACACTATTCGCATACCCAGTACACTCCCATTGGCAGCAGCTCTGCTTACCCAAAGTGATTCTCAAAAGATATGCGTCAGGTAGATTGGGAGCAACTATTCAAACTACGCAAGTTCTTGCTAAATTGGTAATGCTCATGTCCAAAATAGAGATCTAATTGTCACCTCTGAGATCATCATAAAGCTGCATTTAGTAATATTTGCAGCCTTTCCACTCTGCAGCTTCTGTGGGATTTTAAAAGCCATGTGATTTCTCCTTCTCCTCCCTTTCCTCCCCACTCGCTTATTTGGCCCTACTCATTAGACAGAACTAACTGGATAATAAAGGTATTATGAATAGAGTGAATTTTCAAAGTTAGGCCTTCCTATGTAATGTTCCTAATCAATGGCCCATTTTTTTTCTGGCCTTATTTGGGACTTAATCAGGTGCTCTGCATCCCCTTGAAGATTTTTGACATTATGCTGTGGAGTTAACATTCTGTCCTATGTATAATACCTTTTGTATACTGCATATACACTGTAGTAACTCTTTTTTAAAATATATTTTTAATGATTTCAGAGAGGAAAGGAGTGGAGGAGAAAGATAGAAACATCAATCATGAGAGAGAACCACTGATTAGCTGCCTCCTGCAAGTCCCTTGCTGGGAATCGAGCCTATAACTCGGGCATTGTGCCCTTGACCAGAACCGAACCCAGGACTCTTCAGTCCGTAGGCCAATACTCTATCCACTGAGCCTAACCAGCCAGGGCTACCCTGTAGTAACTCCTGATATTGTTCTTCCCTTTGCTTTTCCATTCCTCTGTAAAATTGTCTTCCAAAGTTCAGCACACTGGGTTGTTATCTTCTACTCTGATACATCTGGGCAGGTCTCCTCTATCAGTTGAAGTATATACTTCCCAGGAATCAATTGTGTGTTCCCAGATATGCCTAATGGTTGCTCTTGTTATTGTAACAAAGTAAATTGCAAGAAGTGATTTATAAATGTACAAAATATTAATGAGTGTGGAAAGTTTTATTTCTTTTTTATTTTATTTTTTTATTTAAATATATTTTATTGATTTTGTACAGAGAGGAAGGGAGAGAGATAGAGAGTTAGAAACATCGATGAGAGAAAGTCATCGATCAGCTGCCTCTTGCACACTCCCCACCGGGGATATGCCTGCAACCAAGGTACATGCCCTTGACCGGAATCGAACCCGGGACCCTTCAATCCCCAAGCCAATGCTCTATCCATTGAGCCAAACCGGTCTCGGCTTATCCTTCTTTTTAATGAAAATTGCAAAATGTTGAGGAACTACTTGATAAAGTTATGTCTCTAAAGAATTTTCTGTTTAGTGGTCGTGTAAGACAATTGTGAAAGATCTGGAATAAATTTTAAAAATCGAGGTTTTACACACCTATTAGAGGACTTGCTGTCAAAAACAGTAAACATCTTTTAAGAGATTTGTAAAAGAATGTAATCCTACCTAATAAAAGAGTAATATGCAAATTCACCATCACTCTGCTCCACAAGCCACACCCACAAGTCACACCCACCAGCCAATCAAAGCATATATGCAAATTAACCCCAACCAAGATGGCTGCGGCCACAGAGGCTTGGGTATCTATGGCAACGGAAGAAGCCAAGCTTTCTACATAAGTCCCAAACAGAAACAGCTGCCACCATGGAGCAAGGAGAGGGCTTGGCTCCGCTCCAGGCTATAAAGTTTCAATTGTAGAAGGTAAATAAATTCCAGTTACCAGGGCCTCTGCTTGGGTTGCTGGGGGGCGTGGCCGGCCTGCAAACCACCACAGGCCCCTCACTCAGGCCACCCCATGCCCCAAGGGAACCCCCACCCTGATCCAGGACACCCTTCAGGGCAAACCAGCTGGCCCCCACCCATGCACTAGGCCTCTATCCTATCTAACAAAAGAGTAATATGCAGATTGATCATCACTCCAACACACAATATGGCTGCCCCCATATGGACACAAGATGGCTACCACAAGATGGCCAGCAGGGGAGAGTAATTGGGAGGCAACAGTCCTGCAGGGGAGGGCAATTAGTGGTGACCAGGCCGGCAGAGGAGGGAAGTTGGGGGCAAACAGGCTGGCAGGAGAGCAGTTAGACATCAATCAGGCTGGCATGGGAGTGGTTAGGGGATGATCAGACTGGCAGGCAGAAGTGTTAGGGGCAATCAGGAAGGCAGGCAGGCGAGCAATTGGGAGCCAGCAGTCCTGGATTGTGAGAGGGCAGTGTACATCCCTCAAGGAGTCCCAGATTGGAGAGGGTGCAGGCTTGGCTGAGGGACAACCCCCTCCCACCCCTGTGCACAAATTTCGGTCACCAGGCCTCTAATATGTTAATAAAGGTAGATATCTTATTTTTTGTTTATTCGCTTTAATTATTTTCAGTTAATCAGTAACTTGGAATGATCATTTGAATGGGGTTGAGAGTTTATTGTTTTATTGGATTTTTTTTAATATTTAGGGAATAAACTGTAATTTATGATATTTACTCTTGTAATTGAATTTCCTATAACAACCACACATTCCTTTCTCTCTTAGTTTATTAAATTGTCATTGTTTTTAATTTGCAGTTTTTATTGCCTTACAGCTTTGGTATGCTGTTCTGTGGTCAAGTCACATACAAAAGTCTTCAATGGTTGTGTTTTTTTTTTTTTTTTAAATTGAGGCTCTTCTTACATGCCTTTGGAAATCCTGAGTACTATTTTTATTAGGATGATATTAACTTCTTAAATCCAATTTTGAAATATTAATATTTCCTTTGGCAGATGATAAACTTAATTGGGCAGGTGATAAACTTAATTGGGCAGATGATAAACTTTTAATTTTTTAATTGGAAATTTTTTTTTTTTAGTTATCATTTGAGCATGTATCTTATGTAGTTGAAATGCATTTCATGTGTTGAATTCTTTTTTTTTTTTTTTTTTTTTTTTTTTTTTTTTTTTATATATTTTATTGATTTTATACAGAGAGGAAGGGAGAGAGATAGAGAGTTAGAAACATCGATGAGAGAGAGTCATCGATCAGCTGCCTCTTGCACACCCCCTACTGGGGATGTGCCCGCAACCAAGGTACATGCCCTTGACCGGAATCGAACCCGGGACCTTTCAGTCCCCAAGCCGACGCTCTATCCATTGAGCCAAACCGGTTTCGGCAATGTGTTGAATTCTTATCATGAAGGAATAAATATATAAAGTAGAGATAAACTTAAGTTTCCCTTGTGTCAGCCAGTTTTCAATTAGACAGAAACCTCAACAGGTATTCTTACCGAGAGAATTTAATATAAAAAATTGTTAAATGGGTATTGTTGAATTAATGCAAAAAGAGATCATATTAATGCGTAAAGTATCACGGAGGTAGCAGCAGTTACAGTTGACAGCTTCTACCCCTAGAGCTGGAGGAACAAAATGAGGAGGTTAAATTATTATAATAAAACTTAAGAGACTTAGAGGAGGGGCCCTGCCGAGCCTTGATTCAGACTTCTGAGGAGGGAGTAGAGATGACCGTTGCCTCTGATGGATGCAAGTGAGTGGGTTTAGTGAGTGTTAGGAAAAAGTACAAAGTGAAACCAGATGCTACTGGAAGCAGAGGTCCTTCCAGAGTTTCTAGGGTTTTGCTGATAAGACCAGGAAGCAGCCAGGTAGGGGCAGGAAGGTCCCTTCTTCCTTCAGCTTCCAGTCTCTCTTTAGCACTCCCATTGACAGGGTTTAACTGGAAGGCACTAGAATCATCACAAAAATTGTTTGCTTAATCCTAGGCCCCGTACCACTGAATATAACAGAGTGACTTTGAAGCTGAAAGACAGTAGCTTAATTACTGGTTCCTAAACAACAGTTACCTATCACATTTACTTTTTGATAGTCTATGTGCAATAAAGGATGATTTGTTTGCATATTTAAGTATAATCTCAAGACTCATTTTTTTTCACATTTGCTTTTCTGACCCCTGCAGCACACATGGATCCTGTATATCACATTTTCTATCATTTATTGACATATTGTGTCATTTAAAAATTGCTTTTCAGCTTTTAAACCTTATCCTTTGACTTCATTATCTGTGTCCTAGTTATTGTATTGGGTGAGGAATGGAAGGGCTCTGTTCTTAGTTTGAATTTTATTGCCAGCCTACTACTAAGTACCTTGACTTTTCTGAAAAGTGGAGATTTTTTTCATTGCTTTTTTTATAAAATGAACGTCTCTTAAAGTTATGCTCCAAAAAATTATGTTTTTCATGTTATTATTGATGCTAACATGCTTAAAAATAAACTTTAAAAAGTAAAATTATTTTAATTTAACAGGTGCTTCCAAGGAAGGAGGTGCTGGAGCAGTTGATGAAGAAGATTTTATAAAAGCCTTCACAGATGTCCCTCCTGTTCAGGTAAGGATGCCAATATACTGGCCCTCCTCGTGAATGTTGTCTCTGTGCCTCTTCAGATCATTGTTTTTGTCCCTTTAAAACTATTTTTTCCTGCCGAAACCGGTTTGGCTCAGCGGATAGAGCGTCGGCCTGGGGACTGAAAGGTCCCAGGTTCAATTCCGGTCAAGGGCATGTACCTTGGTTGCAGGCACATCCCCAGTAGGGGGGTGTGCAAGAGGCAGCTGGTCGATGATTCTCTCTCATCGATGTTTCTAACTCTCTATCCCTCTCTCTTCCTCTCTGTAAAAAATCAATAAAAATATAAAATAAAATAAAAAATAAAAATATTTTTTTCCTTAAAAGACTATGTAAAAATAAAATACTTGACTTATATTACCAAGCTATTATTTGTTGGTATAGTTAGATTTTCCAAATGATTTTTTCAGTGAGGCTGAAATTAAAGTGAATCCATGTTATTGGCTTAGATATTACTTTAGCTCTCAGTTCTAGCTTGACTTTCTAACATTAGTTCAAACACCCTATATTAACTATAGACTTTCATAGCACTGCATAATTCTCCTTGGTGATACTTTATTTGCAATTTCATATTTTATATCATTTGATTCATTTCTTTTTCTCTCTCCCTGACCAGACTGTAAACTTTATAATACAAGAAACATGTCTGTTTTTGCTCACCATAGTATTCTTAGTGCCTAACAGTACATTTCTGTTATGTGAAGATTTTTTTAAGTGAATGAAAGGATAATGATATTTGGCAAATGATAGGCTCTAGAGGAAACAAAGCATGTAGCTATCCTGGTTACTGTCTAGCATGAGGCAGTGAGGAGACTAACTTAAAACATGTCCTTTTGCAATATTGTATAATAGTGTATGAATGCATAGTTATGTTATATACCTGAAGTCATTTTGAGAAATTAGGCATATTGTTATTAATTGGACTTTTTACATTTTGTTTTTAAATGATAAAGCATATTAAATGTATATTTGAAATTACTCATGAATGAAGAAATAGCATAAAGGTAACAGGGAAGGAAGACAAATTAAAGCACTTTATTATTGTCATAATATATTTCCACCCTCCATTAAAAATGGTGGTAGAATGGTAAATAAATAATCTTATTACTTAAAAGATTATTTTAAATACCAGGTCATAATTTTAATATTGGTTATGGTAAGAAATGTTAACCTTACAATTTTACATCTTTAAGATCTATTCTGGTCGAGAACTTGAAGAAACATTAAATAAAATCAGGGAAATTTTGTCAGATGACAAACATGACTGGGATCAGCGTGCCAATGCAGTAAGTTTTTTATTTTCTTACCCTTCTCCTCTTTTTTTCAATGTTCTTTTTCAAAAACTTGGAAATTCAGTAGTACTACTACCTGGCATTTCAGATACTTAAGAAATAGAAAGTCTGATAACTGATATTTCTTTCTGGAAAATACATCGAGATAGTTGGCATTTCTGACTTAGGGTAATTTTTATTGTTTTTGCTGGTCAGGCGGAACCTGTTTCACCCGTTCGTTAGTCTCTCTACCTGTGCTACTTGTTGAGTGACCAGGAAAGTGTGAGCTTCCCTGATGCCACAGGGAGGTGGCCTGTCCCTGGGGCTGCATAGTCAGTACTGTCCTCCATTCTTACAGGGTTTACCAGAAAAGCAGTTCGCTTTTCCTGCATGCTCAGTGTTTTCATAATGTCAACATAAATTCACAACAATATGGCCATTTGTCTGGCTTTTTCTTTTTTCCTCTCACATATCTCTCTCTCTCTCTGATAAAATATTTTCACAACCATGATTTTTTTTTTTAAAAAAAAAGGCCTGATGTCTTTTAATTAAGAATATTTTATTTTACTTAAATCCTTGAGATACTATTTGATAATTTTTAAAATGATATTTGCAATGTCAAAAGACTATAACTCAAAGATTGTGACTTGGACAAATTTACTTCTGAGTTACCTCATGTGTGCCTCATTATCCTCAAGAAGCTAGAGGAGGGGTTCCATTTGAAGACTCCTCTGTTCTGAGAGCCCGAGTCTCTGTTTTGATGGCTTGATGGTTGGTCCTTCTGCCTCTGTTCTTTTGCTTATCCATGAATATAATTTCCAGAATTGGGCCCTTTTAAAAATAGTCTCCTTAGTATATAGTGGTAATGGTTGCACAACATTTTGATTGTTCTCAATGCCATTGAATTGTATATTTTAAAATGATAAATTTTAGGTAAATGTGAATTTTACCACAGTTTATTAAAAAATGCTTCCTTAAAAACCTCAAAATTTAGTAATCCATTCATACATTACATGTTTATTATGCATATAACCAAATCTATAATGTTTTTTTCCAGAAAGCTTTGTGTTTTGGTTTGCATGTTTATTTTAAAATGTTTAATACTGTTAAGATGTCTGAATGTAGTAATGTAAATAGAATGAAATGTTATTTTTAAATTTTTGTTTAAATAATGAAGTTCAGATAGCTTTAAGATTTTTTTGCGCTGCCACTTTTGTTTGGTCAATAATGGTAATTTTCTTTATTTCAGCTTAAGAAAATTCGATCATTGCTTGTTGCTGGAGCTGCACAATATGATTGCTTTTTTCAACATTTACGCTTGTTGGATGGAGCACTTAAACTTTCAGCTAAGGATCTTAGGTCCCAGGTGGTTAGAGAAGCTTGTATTACTGTAGCGTAAGTATATTCTTTATGTGATAAGTGAATGAATTTGGTACTCATGGAATCAGATCTCATTAAGTAAAGCAGTAGCAAGATAACCCCCAAAAAGCATCAGTGTTGATCCAAATATCATTTATATTATAAGGATCCAATTTGTGTGATTTTTAAAAAAATTGGACCCACAACACTTTGTTGTATAGGATGATATTCTTTCCAACTCACCCACCAGGCCAGCTCAGTAGCTAAAATTAAACACAGGGCCGGAACCAGTTTGGCTTAGTAGATAGAGCATTGGCCTGCGGACTAAAGAGTCCCAGATTTGATTCCGGTCAAGGGCATGTACCTTGGTTGCAGGCACATCCCCAAGTGGGGGGTGTGCAAGAGGCAGCTGATTGATGATTCTCTCTCATCGATGTTTCTTACTCTATCCCTCTCTCTTCCTCTCAGTAAAAATCAATTATATATATATATATATATATATATATATATACATTTTTTTAAATTTAAATTAAATTAAATACAGGTAGGACCAATTATATGGTCCTACCTATATTTACTGTTAAACTACCTTTTTTTTAAAGCATTTTTGTCTTCCTTTGTAGCCATCTATCAACAGTTTTGGGGAACAAATTTGATCATGGCGCTGAGGCCATTGTACCTACACTTTTTAATCTCGTCCCCAATAGTGCAAAAGTCATGGCAACTTCTGGATGTGCAGCAATTAGGTTCATCATTCGGGTAGGTTCTTTTCTTCTCTCCCTTACCCCTCCTTTAAAAATGTACTTAAATAAGTCATTGGTATTTTTTTAACTCCAAGGGAAAATTACTTTTGAAATATTTTTCTGATAATAAAAGCAATACATGGTAATTATAGTTATTCTAGAACATTTAAATAATGCAGAGTATTACAAAGTAAACATTTTTGAACAACATATACACATGAGTACATGTATGCATGTTTGTGTGCTTATGTAACAATGTTACAGGTAGTAATAGTCTACAGATGTAAAATAGTTAAATTGTTATAGACAGTGGTAAACGATGACAGAAAAATTTTTACTATTTCTCATCGTCCATATCTTGAAGATACCCTAGAGAACAGAGATATAAAGATAAATCTCCCACCCCCCCTTAAATTCTACTCATTTGATAGTACCCATTTTGCTATTCTTGACCGTGTCATATTATTGATATATTGTTCCTCCATCTCACTGAAAATACAGTCAGGTGGGGTTTTTGTTTATGTTATATCCTATTTAATATATTTAGTTTGCTTCCTAGTGGACTTGTACCTTAGATTGCTCTATTCGATTCCTCATTCTCTTTTTAATTCTAGAGAAGCTTTTTCTTTTTTCAAGTTGTTAACTCTACTCATATTAATGAGTTAAAGTTTGAATTGTTCTGATTTTGTATTTGGTTGAATACTTTGTCATCGTGAGGGTCATTTTTTTATTTTCCTTTGGTACATCTACCCCTAAATATAGTGTCACAATGATTAGGTGACTCCCCATCCCTGCCATGTGTTGGAGGTGGGCTAATCAGCAGTCGGGCCTTGGGGAGATTATGAGAGAGAGGAGGAGGCTGGTGGGTGAGAGATGGTTGTGTGCTGTGGCTTAGGGACTGTCCTTGCACTTTAACTCCATAGTAATGTTTGAGGAATGAGTTCTGTATGTTATAAGGAGCAGGTCCATAGAGTGCTTCCATGCTGAATTAAACAGCTGAATAACATGCAGGTCAGCACTCTCTTGCACTAGTCTTTTGAACAGCTTCAAATCTATAGATGGTTTCTCTCTGTAGTAGCTGAAAAAGTTTTTTCTTTTATTTCGGTTGAGTTGGTTGTGGCAGATGTGGCATGCACATTCTACTTCAGTGAAGACTTGTAATGAAGCACTCTTGGCAAGAGCCTTCACATGCCCGCTTCTTCAAGGATTGCCTCAATTGCAGGGAGCTGCCTTTCCCAAGGCCTTGCCCCTTCTCAGAATGGCCCTCCTCCATTAACTGATGGATGTGGAAGTGTAAAGGTCTGGCCATCTTGGACCAATTCGAGACTATGCTGAAGGGCCATTTTTACTCTGTAGCTCCCTAACGGCCTTAGATCAGATATCCTTGGGCTATGTCATAGGTCAGTTTCTTCCTCTGCCCACTCTTGTTTCCTTTTCATACCTTCCACAGGTGTTGATCCCAAGGGCATGTCTTAATAGCCTCATGCTAACCTCTACCTCAGATCCTTGTTTCATAGGTAACCCAGCCTGTACCATTAACTCAGAAGGAAAATAGAGCTTTAAAGCATCAAAAATGTATACTTCAGTTTTATTATGTCTATGTTGAACTTTTTAGCATTTGCTTCACTAAAGAAGAGCATAAGAATTACTAATAGAAGTCAGAAGATTATACCTATTGAACTTTACCTGAATTCTAGAGAGCTATGGTTCAGCCAGAATGAAAGTTCAGTTAAAGTCACCATTTCAAAGTGCATTCCCAATAGTTAGGTATGTAGATTCACACTGATTATCTATTTGATTACATAGCAGTTATTGTCTTCTACCACAGGAGCCATGGCACACCAGGAAACATAACAAAAAAATGCCCAGTTTCTCTTAGTGTTTCCCCCCCTAGAGTTACACTGTCCTAACGGTTCTTTGCAGTTGTACAATTAGCTTGTCTTTATTTCATAATATTACAACCACACCTGTCCTTCTGAAACTATGTTATCATTACTAATACTTTAATTTTGGAAAACTTTTTGATTGGTCTCAATTTCTTTCAAAATCAGATCTTATTATCTTTTTGTCCTGTACTAATATAAATACATGAATGTAAGACAAATAAAAGAGGGAATTATGTGAAGTGCCCAGTATTTTTCAACTTTTTTTAAACCATCTTTTTCAGCATACTCATGTACCCAGACTTATACCTTTAATAACAAGCAATTGCACATCAAAATCAGTTCCTGTGAGAAGGTAAGTTTGGAGGGGAATTTTTTTTTTTAGTATGGCTTTAATGTTGCATTTTGTTTCAATCTTAGTGTGGTGCAAAAATTGTTGTTATTAATTTCTTGCCTTCTAGAATCCTTAATAAAATTTTTTGTTTTATGAAATACAAGGGAAAAGGAATGAAGCAATTATGACTACCCACGTTTCTCAGTTTTATCGTATTTTGTTTCATTCTTAGTGTGGTGCAAAAATTAGTTATTAATTTCTTGCTTTCTAGAAACGTTAATAAAATTTTTTATCGTATGTCATATAAGGGAAAAGGAATGAAGCAATTATTAAGACTACCCACATTTCTCAGTTTTATCGTATTAAACTTTGTTGTTGTTGTTGTTGTTTTTTGGTTGCTGTTTGCTTGGTTTTTAGAGAGTTTAGAGTTTGGAGTCAGGACTCCACTTGAGTCCTGTAGCTGCCACTAATTGACTGTCCTGTCTTGGGCAATTATTGAATTACTTTAAACCTCAGTGTCCACATGTTAATAAGGCTAATGATATCAGTCCCATAGGATCTGAGGATTAAATGAGATGCACATTAGTAGAATTGAACATAGTGCATAGAGTCAACAGCCATATCCAGTCAATCAGTCACCCTTTCTCTCTTCTTATGATTTCTACAAACTTTAATATCGCCATCAATAACAAAGACAGCAAAAACAAGATTTGTGATATGATGTTTGAGAAAATTGTAAAGAACTCTTTCTCTTAAGTTTGATAAGTATATTTATTTAATGCTTTGAATGTTAGGAAGAAGATGGATAAGACATCCTTATTTACTTTCAGTGTTTTGGCGTTTTAGTGACAGTTGTTCATTAATTCTCTTATTGAGGGTTGGCAAATGACAGCTTGCTGGCCAAATGATACAACCCACAAGCTAAAACTATTTCTAATGTGTGTGTTTTTCAGATTTTTTATTGATTTTTTTTTTTTAGAGAGAAACATTAATGTAAGAGCGTTATGTAATATAAGTCAGCTGCCACCTGCATGCCCCCTACTAGGGATCAAGTCCACAACCGTGGGCATGTGCTCTGACAGGGAATCGAATTGGCAATCTTTCGGTACATGGCACAGTGCCCAACCAACTGAGCTACACCAGCCAAGGCTATTTCTAACATTATGGGAGGGTGGATAAACGGGGGAATGAAGAAGAATATGAGATAGAAATGGTATGTGACCCTAAAGCCTGAAATATTTGTGTTCTGGCTCTTTAAAGAAAACATTGACCAATCTCTGACTCATGTTTAGGAAAATGGTATTTGAGGTATAAGAATGTAACAGAGAAGAGGGAGTCAGGAAGTACATCTTGAGAAGTACTCCTTGAGAAAGGAAAGCAATTCAGTAACTGTAGGAGCAGTGAGTAGGGTATAACCTAAACAGAGATGTAAGACTCCCACTCACTGCAGAGCTGTCAGATAGGCCACCAAGGCCAGAGCACGTAAGTGGGAGGTTTTGTAGGAAAAGTGCCTGATGGGGTGGAGGAGGAAGGGCCAGGACTAGGTTGAAGTCAGTATAGAGGGCTTGGAATGTCATGAAGAGAAATTTTGACATTGTTTCATTCTTTGACATTTTTTGTTGAGGAGACAGTGTCATCGATCGGAGTTTTTAGTCCAGCTATGAACAGTGATTAAGAAGGCACAATAGCCAAAACCGGTTTGGCTCAATGGATAGAGCGTCAGCCTGCGATGCAAGGATCCCGGGTTCGATTCCAGTCAAGGGCATGTACCTTGGTTGTGGGCACATCCCCAGTGAGGGGTGTGCAGGAGGCAGCTGATCGATGTTTCTAACTTTCTATCCCTTTCCCATCCTCTCTGTAAAAAATCAATAAAATATATATATATATATTTTTTTTTTTTTTAAAAGAAAGCACAATAGTTTAAATAAGTGGGAATATTAATAACTTATTGGAGAGAGGCAGGGTCTAAACAAGAGTTATAGTGTTGATAATTGATTGAAGGAGATTTTATTCAATAAATAAATTCAAAGGATTTCAAGTATAGAAAGGAGACCTGATAATTGGGTACGGATGAGGGCGGTGATGTCAAATGGTTTAGAGTGTGAACTCTGGATTCAGAATGCCAGGGGTTATTTTGGGCAACTTAATTTAACTTTCTTATTTCTCATTTCCTGATCTGTGTAATATGGACCAAAAGAGTGGGCATGAGAGGGTAAAATTTCATATGTTCTTTTGTATATAGTGTTTGAGTTGACTTTCACTGCCTATGTAAAGATGTTGAATTGAACCAATACTGTCTAGATGTTAGAAGCATAGCTGGTAGTCAGGTACAGATGTTGTTGCTCAAGTTGACTATAAAGGGAAGTGGGCTGAGATCCACACAATCTAGGTGAGCACCTGTTTAAAGATAGGTAGAGAAAAAATATCATCATTGGGTGCCAAGAAAGAAGAGAAGCTCAAGAATGAGACGGTTGAAGAAGTTGAGGACTAGGAAGGCTTAGGAGAAAATGTACAGATATTTGATTAAAAATCAAATGTGTATCTTTTTAAGGAAACATTTTAAAAATAGAAAATCCATCACATCTTTCTTGATTGCCATTGTATATCTTCAATTTCTAGTGCATAGTAGGTATTTGATAAGTATTTTTTTAAATTAAATGAAATTTGTTAATTTTACATTTGACAAGCATTTTAAGTTAAATGTATGGGGAACTCTTAGTCTTTTTTAACTACTTAGCATGGAAATAGTTGGAACCTTAAAGTAAGTTAAGTACTTGACAATTAAGATAACCGAAAACATGTATTGTACAGTTATCTTTAGAAATCTATGGGTATTGATTCTGTGATCCCCTGGATACCAAAATCTGTAAACGCTCAGGTCTCTTATACAAAATGGAGTAGTATTTGCATATAACCTATATTTGCATATAAGCTATAGCAGGGTGTGCCTACACATCACTTCATTCATGTGGATTCAGCATAGTGATTGGTGTGTGGCAAATTCATTTTGCTTTTGAGAACTTTCTGGGGGAACCCCCACTCCTAATATTTTCAGTCCCTAGTTGGTTGAATCTAAGTGTATAAACGCACGGATACAGAGGGCTGCTTGAACTTCAATTCAGGGCTCAAATTGTAGTATTATAGAAGAAAGTGCTACTTAGTATTTAGTTATAAATTAACATAATGTTATAACATTTCATTATAATTAACTTTTCTTTTTCAGGCGTTCATTTGAATTTTTAGATTTATTGTTACAAGAGTGGCAGACTCATTCATTGGAAAGGTATGCATCAGCTCTCACTCTCCTTCTCTCTCCTCTCCCCAGTGTTACCAGTTCTTTAGAAGTTGATGGTGTTGGCTTTGCGTTATTTCCCATTTTGCTTTAAAAGTTATTTGTATTGGTTTTCCTTTAAAACAGTGGTGCAATGTTTCTTTTATTTGTTGCAGTTTTAAATGGTATGATTTTCTTCTTTGTGGGGTGAGTGAATGAATCATATAAGATACTCCAGGTTAAATTGGGCAAAAATTAAAAATGTATCTCTAGTCATGTGAGACAAGTTTTCCAAGGTGCAATTAATCAAGTAATTAATGACTAAAGAGAGAAGGAAGGCACTCCCTTTCCGAGGAAAGAAAGAAAAAAGAGTTTCTCCACACCATCTGTCAGGTCATGGGCAGTGATTGTTCTAAGATGAGCAAGAGGAAAATGTAGGTAGCTCGGTAGTCACTGGCTGTTTGTATAGCTGTATTTCTTGTTGGTTTCAAGTTTGAAACTTGGGATATGCCTACATTTATGCTGAAAATGATGCTGATTTGCCATTTTTATAGAAATTATTAAATTTGTCCAAGGCCCCTTTTAAAAAAAATAGAATTTGTTGTTTAATGTAGGCATGAAATACTAGTAATTCCAAGTTTTCTTTAAGTTCGTGTGTAGCAGCTCCTATTCAGTTTTATAACTGATCATACTATTAGCAAATCATTTTCTACATTGATGGGTTAATGATGAACCACACAGAAGATCTTTTTTATTCATTAAAAATTTTAAATTTGAGTACTATATATTTATACATTATTTGGATCTCATATACAAATAATTATTTTCAGGTTTATAATGTTTAACTTGTCAGAAGAAAAGTGAACATAAATGAAATATATGAGGTGGATTATTAGAAAATCTTGCAGCCTTATATTTATGATTGTTCACTGATTAATCTTTTTACCTTCCCTTATCCTTTGTGATTAATGTGTAACACATAGGCATTAAGTGTTATTTGTGGTGAAATGCAGTTTTACACATGACACTAAAGATGTTTTATATTATAGACATGCAGCCGTCTTGGTTGAAACTATTAAAAAGGGAATTCATGATGCTGATGCTGAGGCCAGAGTGGAAGCAAGAAAGTAAGTCCATAATGTATTTTCGTGACAGTTTAAAATACTTTAGTCTTTTCATTGAAAGGAATTACATTGGGAGAATAAAAATATTAGAATTGTCCCAGTTATTCTACTTTTGATTAGCTCTTCAGTAAAATTGTGATTGATTTTCCTCCACTAAGTCTGTACTGTCTGACAGTTTACTTCCTTTTGTCATGTGTATAGTCATCAGTATTTCTAGTTCATCATAATAACACCTCCCCTTTTATTGTGAATAAAATAACTGTCACTGATTGAACATGTGTTATATACCTGATACTGTATGGGGCAGTTGGTATTCATTCTTTTCTAGCATTTGAAGTGCAGGATTGGCAGCTGAAGTTTGGAGATTTGGAGTATACCCAAGCCCCAAAGTAGATCAATTTTGATCTGCTTTTCTCAAAAGCCTGCCATTTTTCCAAAACTTGTTAACTTTAGAAAGCATTCACTTGAAATACAGTGGGTGTCTTAAAAATCTACATGTTCACCTGCATTCTTGAATGTATACATTTTTTTTAATGACTAATAATGTAAAGCTATTATTTTGTGCTTTTTTCTTCTTCTTTAAAAAATTTGTTCATTTGCTTTACAGGACATATATGGGTCTTAGAAACCACTTTCCTGGTGAAGCTGAAACATTGTATAATTCCCTTGAACCATCTTATCAGAAGAGTCTTCAAACGTACTTAAAGAGTTCCGGCAGTGTAGCATCTCTTCCACAGTCTGACAGGTCTTCATCTAGCTCACAAGAAAGTCTCAAGTAAGGTCATATAAATGATAATTACTGATTTCTTCCTCTCCCAGCTCCCCAGAGTGCCTTCAGTTGGGTGGATACTTGAGTATCTGCTTGCTTTTCCTTAAAGCCTTGAGAGAATGATGATTTGAAGTAGTACTCATTTTCTTTGGTCTAATGTCTCAAGGGTTGGGTTACATGCTGGTATACGGTAACTTCTCTTTGGGTAAAGAATTTAGTGATTCAGATTTTGTTTCTATATGTTCACGTCTGCAAAAAAGATTGGGAAGCACTGATTTATATACGTTTTTAAAAAAAATATCCACAGAATAGTTTATATGGTAGATAGTCCATTTTGGGGGAACTGCAATGGAGGAATTGTCATGGAAACTCTAAAGTCATTTTTAGAACTGTTAGGCAACACTGTAGACTGGTGAAAACTCCACTGCTCTCATTCCTCACCTGCACAGCTTCAGATTTCAGCAGTTCCCTCAAGGGGCAAAATTAGTATCTGACTCACTCTCTTTAGCTCCATTCTCGTCATTGTGTTGGCTGCTGCAAACCCTACTGCTTGGCAGCCGTAACCCTATTTTCTGGCTCTCTAGCCCTATGAGTCTGTTTATGTCTCATATGCCTTCTGCACTCCCTAGTGGTGCCACGGGTACCTGCAGATTTCCCCAGAAAGAACAGCTCACAGGATATGAGCTTACCTCTCTAATTTCTGTCTCTGGAGACAGAAAGATTGCTGGTTTCGTTGGCAGCTCTGTGATGCAGGAGTAGGACCAGAGTGAGGCAAATGAGGCACCTGGTGTTTTGCTTTTCTCTTCCCCCACCTTTAAAATTTATATACTTTTCAGATCTTCCTTACATATTTATATATATTCTTATCTATGGGTTGTACAATACTATTGTATAAAGATAATTAATCAAGAGTTATTGAGAGATGTAGATTCTTTGATTATTGGAGCTGCTTTGCTTTCTGATTATGCATGTCATCCTCAGTGGTAGTTCTTAGCCTTTGTTCTTGGCCCCACTCAAGAACACACCCAAGGTATCACACCATCTATAGCTCAGTAGCACTGCTATAGGTGGTGTGATACCTACGTGGTCACTGCACAAATTGCCAATAGCCACAACCATTATGACTTAGGTAAGGAAGATTTTAGTTACTCTGAAGTCCCTCTCTGCTACAAATAACACCGCCTCTAAGTAAAACATCTCGAATACAAGTGTTGGAGAGTTATTGAGTCCTATGAGGTGAACATTATAATGTGTGCAAGGACCAGAGTGAACAACAGCAAACTGAGCTCTGTCTCTGTAGTTTACAGTCTTTATTCATTTTTACAGATTTTATCTTTGCTTCACAGCTATTAAGATGTGATTGATACGTAACAACTGTTGTATTGTGATTTATAAAAGGGAAATTAAATGTGCTTCTCAACTCTTTAGAAAATTCAGTGGTATTTTACCAATTGTTATCAGATAAGAGATAAATTACATCTTCTTACCTAAAGTATTTCCTTTTATTTTGCAGTCGCCCCTTTTCTTCAAAATGGTCTACAGCAAACCCATCAACTGTAGCTGGCAGAGGTAATTTGCCTTTTAAAGTATAGCTTTTAAATTCTTCTAAATAATTAAACTCTCGATCTGACCTACAATGAGAAAATAATTTTATAAAGTGACTTAATACCACACATATACACTGTAGCTATATTTGTATACCATATACATATACTACATATAATATATACAGAATGGTGTATACAATTATGTACCTACAATATCCATATGCTATGTGTGTATTGCATACATGTAATACATATATAGTACTATTTGAAGTTTCACAAAGTACTACTTACCTTAATTGTGATGGATGTACTCTGTTTCCTTTTGTTTCATTTCTTTAAAATGCTTGTCATACTCAGTTGATTTCACAGCCTATTAGTGGGTCACCGTTCACTGTTTGTAAAACTGTTTTCTTTTTTTTAAGTATATTTTTATTGATTTCAGAGGGAGGAAGGGAGAAGGAAATAGACATAGAAACAACAATAATAAGAGAGAATAATTGATTGACTGCCTCCTGCACACCCCCAAGATGGAGTCTGCAACTCAGGCATGGGCCCTGACCAGGAATTGAACCGTGACTTTCTGGTTCATGAGTCGATGCTCAACCACTGAGCCACGCCACCTGGGCTGTAAAACTTTTCATTTTTAAAACTGAAAAACTGCTGAAACCTGTTTGGCTTAGTGGATAGAGTGTCGGCCTATGAACTGAAAGGTCCCGGGTTCGATTCCAGTCAAGGGCACATACTTTGGTTGTGGGCACATCCCCAGTGGGCGGTGTGTAGGAGGCAGCTGATCGATGTTTCTCTTGCATCGATGTTTCTAACTCTTTCCTTTCCTTTTTATAAAAACTAAAGTATGTTTTTTTTAAAAAAAACAAAACACTGAAAAACTAAAGATCAGAAATTTAATAACCTATTTGCATTGCCTAAGTATGGCAAACCTGCATTATTTTCTGAATGACCCCACTCCTGGACTAGTCCTTGTGTTTTTCTGATAGTGGAAAACCAATGCTGCCATCTATTTAGTTGTATAGAGCTTCATTTTCATTGGGCAGTCATAAGAATCACCTCTTTAAAACAGTCCTATGAATTTTACAAAGTATGGTTCTTTTTCCCATTTTATGGAAGAGGAAAATGAGGCATTATGGTTTCAAGTTTATGTAAGTTTTATACTGTTTGCAGTAACTTAGATAACATAGGTTACCTTTGCTTTCTTTTCCACAGTAACAGCGGGCAGCAGCAAAGCTGGTTCCCTTCCAGGAAGCCTGCAGCGTTCGAGAAGTGACATCGACGTGAACGCGGCTGCTGGTGCCAAGGCACATCATGCTGCTGGGCAGGCCATGCGGAGTGGGCGCTTGGGTGCAGGTGCCCTGAATCCGGGTTCCTATGCATCACTAGGTAAGTCAGCTAATTGTGGGAAATTATACTGTGTTTTCTCCCTGTTTCAGTGAAGTCAGGATGGTGGTAATGTTATAATTATTTCTATTTTATTCTTGCCAGTCAAGGATAGTCCATATGTTTTAATATGATTCTGTTCTTGGGACATGGTTCTGAGGTATGTAAGCTATCACGTTTCCACTTTTCCCTCTTGTCATCTTCCTAATCATCTTGATCAAAGGAAAAGTTCTTGATTCCATGGTTTGCCTATAGCATTTTCATAGCATTTGCACTACCGCCACATCCAACCATTGGTTACTAAGGAAGATTAGGAACAGCACCAGCTTTGTATCCAGCTTCTCTGTTCTCTTTCTTCCTCTTTTGTTCCCTCACCAAGAAAATAAAGCCTTTTGAGGGTCTGGGAAAACTACAAGACGTAATCATAATCAAAGCTTAAACTTATGTTTTCTAAGGCTAGTCAGTTTTCTTTTTATGTCCATCAACTTTAAAGTTGGAGGTTGGTTATCCACATTGTTTATCTCTGCCTTGTGCTTCATTTTTCTTTCTCATGGGTAGTACTGGTGGAACATCAGGTAGACATCATTGGAACACAGTAGGAGGTGGAGAGTTTAGTATGAGTTTAGTACGTGATAAAGTTAACAGCTACATTCAGTAAGGAAAAGATAAATTATTCAGTAAATGGTGTCTAGACACATGGCTCCACCATTTGCTACAAAATTCAGTTAGAACCTTGTTTTACACCATATAAAAATGTATTCCAGATTACTATAATGTTGAACAAAAACATAGAACAACTTGATAAAAGTTATTCATCTAATCTCAGGTGGGAGAAGGAATTGCTAAACATAAAGGCCAAGAAACCCATGAGGGAAGAGTTTCTCAGATTTAAATCATGTGAAAACATAAAGACAAATGGCTGAAAACCAAAAGGGAAAAGTTTTTGCCACATACTTATCTATGAGAAACACCTGAGCTTATTTTTATAGAAAAAACATTCTACATAAATCAAGAAAATTATGTATCAAAATTGACCTGCAAAACACCAGAACAAATATTGAACCTCAGCTGTAATCAAACAAATGCAAATTGAAAGACCTATAAATATAACAAGAAAGTTAAGATTGGTGCCTTCCTCCCTGGCTGGGTAGGTCATTTGGTTGGATTGTCATACTGATACCCCGGATTCGGTGGATCCACAGAAACTAAAAGTAAGTTAGTTTTTGCCAGGGGCTGCGAGTCAGGACAATAGGGAGTGACTCCTAATGGGTCTGAGTTCTTTTTGGAGTAATGAAACTGTTCTGGAATTAGGTAGTAATGGGGGTTGTACACCTTGTGAGTATATTAAAAACACTGACTTGTATACTATAAAAGTGTGAATTTTATGGTACATGGATTATATTTTAATTTTTTAAATGAAGAAAAACTGGAAAACAAATAAAAATAAAACTTATTCATCCTAAGTCTTAAAAATAAAATACATTTAACATCTATTCATTGTAATGCCACAAAAATATTATATTTAAAATGTTGTAATGTGAAATAGAAAGCTAATTTGCAAAATATTTTTTTTTTTTTTCATAAGAAAGCTTAGAACAGTGGTCGGCAAATTCATTAGTCAACAGAGCCAAATATCAACAGTACAACGATTGAAATTTCTTTGGAGAGCCAAATTTTTTAAACTTAAACTTCTTCTAATGCCACTTCTTCAAAATTGACTCGCCCAGGCCATGATATTTTGTGGAAGAGCCACACATAAAGGACCAAAGAGCCACAGGTGGTTCAAGAGCTGCGACCACAGGCCTAGAATAATGCCATGAGATTGACTTAATTTGTTTCTTTGGTTCTTTAAAGTTTGAATTGCATGTTACCTTCATTAAAGGGAAAGGTATTCTCTTTTCTTCGTCTAATCCAGGTTCATAGGGACGAGCTAGTTTCCTGTGGCTCTTGGTATTTTCTTCCACTAAAGTACCAAATCCTTTGGAAACTAGGAATATTAGGAGTGTTTTAGAGTTTACCCTTTAAAACTTGATTCTGGAGAGGGAAGTTTGGTGCCATGGGAGACAATAATTTATGTTAAGGAAACTTTGGTATATTTATGCATATTTATGAATATTCTCAACAACTGGGTTTATGGAAAAGAAAATAAATGGTTTTGTTGGTGTCATGTGGACAGGAGTCAGATTTCTGTGGAAGGAGTTGGGAGAAGAATCCATAAATTTTTGCTGTGCTTGATAAGCGCTGAAAGAACATTATGGGAAATTTTTGTAGTTAAAGGTAATTAGCTTTTTAAAAAATAAATAAATAAAAAGGAAGGAAGGAAGGAGGGAGGGAGGGAGGGAGGGAGGGAGGGAGGGAGGGAGGGAGGGAAGGAAGGAAGGAAGGAAGGAAGGAAGGAAGGAAGGAAGGAAGGAAGGAAGGAAGGAAGGAAGGAAGGAAGGAAGGAAGGAAAAAAGAAAAAAAAAGGCCCTGGCCAGTGTTGCTAAGTGTTTAGAGCATGGGCCCAAGCATGGCAGGATTTTGGGTGTGATTCCAGGTCCAGGACACATGTCTGGATTGCAAGTTTTATTCCCATTCTTGGTAGGGGTGCCTGTGGGAGGCAACCAATCCATGTTTCTCTCCTCTTCTCTCTCCCTGTCTTTCTCTCTCCCTCTCCCCCTCTCTCCCTTTCTTCCTCCCTCTCCCCCCCTCTCTCAAGTCTGGATAAATCTACTCATTGTTCCTCCCCACTTCCTCCCTCTTTCCCTCCCTCCTTTCCACTCTAAAAATCACTGGAAAAAAATAAGAAAATAAAATAAAAAAAGGTTAATGAACCCTTTGTTGCTTAAGATCAGAGGAGTTAAATATGTTTGTATCCTAAGATTGTAGACTTAGTAGAGAGAGGAAGTTAAAAATGCAAGGATGAGAAGAAATAATTTATGACCAAATTTCATAAAGGCCTGAGGAATGGGAGTACAGAGCATAGCTGGGAAGTTCACCTCCGATGGGGAAGGGGCACCAGTTTCACTGGTGTAGAAGGGAAGGAAATGAAGGCGGTGGATTCAGATGTATTTGGGGGGTGGGGAAGGTTGTTTGGATAATGCCTAGGGAGTCAGAGTCAGGATCATGTGCTAATAAAAAGCAGGGTGTCTGAGAAGTGGCTTGAGGTTTGGAATAGCCATTGAGGGGGCACAAGTAGTGGCATTCTTCTGGACTCCCTACAGCCACCCATATTTGGGCATTTGATAGAAGGATTTACAGGACTAGGAGGCAGTTGTATTCACAGCTGAGGTTTATTACAGTGAAAGGACGTGTACCAGGATCGGCAAGGGGAAAAGACTCATTAGCTAGCCTTTCAAAGTTCTCCTTCCCAGAGGTGAAGATGAGGGCTGCACATAAAGTGCTCCCTCCTCCCGCAGTGAAAAGCAGGAACATATTCCCAGTGTTTCTGCTCAGGGAAGCTGGCTTAAGACCTCAGAATTCCTCCCTCCACCCCTTATCTTGCAAACAGAATAACCTTTCATTGGTATAGGGTGCACCAAAACAAAGTTCCCAAAGGCCTGCCCCATAAGATCCTTAAGATCAACTCAGACTTGTTATGTCAATACTTTCCTGCGCAGACACAAAGCCTGATAATTATCCCAGTTTTTGTTGTGCCATCTGCATGATTTCATGGTTTTGTAATTTCTCTATTGGGCACCTCAAGTAGTGGAGTAGAAACATTGAGTAGATTTATCCAGACTTAAGTTTTTATAGGATCTGAGAGTTCTAAGAAAGGATGGGGTGGGGAAGCAACAAGACACTAGATAACATAATGATGTGAGAGCTAAAGAGTAGAATTTTGGGTTTCCTGTAGGCTACAGAGGAAAAGAATAAGCAAGGCAGGATGTGACTCTGATTAGGAGAAACTCAACAGACAAGAGTAGAAGGTTTGCCTGATGATGGCAAGGGTCCAAGGTTGGGACATGGGCTTCGCTAACTTCTCTCTCTAGGCTAGTGAAAACCACTCAGAGGTTTTGGTGGTGGTGTCCCTATCTATTAGGAACCTCGCCTTACTTAATGTTTTACTTGAAAACAAGCTTCAGATGTATGTCTATGCTATGAATTCTGTCTTCCTTTTTTTAAAAATTTCTTTATTAAGGTGTTACAGAATTCTGTCTTCTTAAAAATAGTATTTTCTGGGTCTTAATATAATCATTTTTCTAATATTCTAAGTTTTCCTCTGTTCTTTACTTGCTTTTTCATCATAGAGGATACTTCTGACAAGATGGATGGTAAGAACTCCCTGATTCTATTACTAAAGATTTTTATGGTTCTTGGATTCTATTTAATATCTTTGTTTATTCATTTCTGAAAACAGACTGCTTATTTAGCAGCAATTTTTATGTGAAAATGTCTACACGATGCTGTGATTTTATTTTAGGCTAGGCGTATCCATTTTGGGGTTTCCTAGTCTACCCAAATACTAGATTACTGCTTGTTGTAAGTTAAATCAGTTATCTTAAATGTTTTTACCTGAGCTCTTAGTAATAATTTTTATTTCTTAAATATTTCTCTAATATATCAGACTTAGAAGAATAGAAAGGATCTCATAAGTCATTGGATTCAATTCTTTAGTTTACTAACTCTGATACAAAGACAAATGACATGTTTTTCAGATTCATTTGCTTATTTATGAATATAAAATACAAGTTACAGATGCTATATTTTTAAGAGTGACTTTTAAACTAACATTTAATCAAAACTTAACTTACTTTAAGCTTTGCCTTTTTCATTTCATTATTCAAATGACTTTTTTGTTACTTGATTTAATATGGTATTTTTTTTATCTGGGGGTATTTTTTTGGTTATTAATACACAGTATTTTGTCCACACTTTCCCTTCACTGCATTAGATATCTTCATGTTATCTAGGAATTTGAGTTTTATAAAAAAGCTTGTAAGAAGATATTGAATCTGTAAGTAACAGTATAAGATCTAGGAAAAATGGAGAATTGTATTTTTTCTGTCAATTTTTACATAATCTCTGAAACTGATATATCTTTCATTCTGAAGAAATGGAACATTGGGCACATGAGTGCTACTTATCTTAGCCTCTATGTTTCTCTAATGTTTAATATATTTCATTAATTTTAAAAATTTTTTGAATGAAATGCAAGTTCATCAAACTCTTGATATGACTTCTATCACTGAGATTATGGATCCTTTAAAAAAAAAAATCATTCTAGCCAAAACTGGTTTGGCTCAGTGAATAGAGCATCGGCCTGCGGATTGAAAGGTCTCAGGTTAAATTCCAGTCAAGGGCATGTACCTTGGTTGCTCGTACATCCCCAGTAAGGGGTGTGCAGGAGGCAGCTAATCGATGTTTCTCTCTCATCGATGTTTCTAATTCTCTATCCCTCTCCCTTCCTCTCTGTAAAAAAAAATCAATAAAATATATTTTAAAAATAATAATAATAATAATAATAAACCAAATCATTTTTACTTTTCAGATCAAAAGTATTTTCCTGTTTTGGTCAGAAACATCAGCCTATTTGACAAAACACTCTTTATGTGATGTGTTACTCTCACTGATGCTCAATCCTATATTTTTAAAAATATCTGTATATACACAGAGAGACATCTGTTATTGCCCTTTAGTAATAGTGAGCTATGATATTTGTGTTTGGTCGTTTTTGCTTATTTTCATTGACATTTTAGGGAGCAAACATAAATGTTGAGTAAATAGCTGGATTGATAGATCTTTATAATGCTTTGATGATAATACTGGGTTAATGAGCCCTAGGGCATGGATTTGGTTCCTATGTTTGTCAGTTAGCTTTTTTAGTTCTCTTGTGGACTAACTTTGAAAATGCACAAAATATACTCTTACTCTGGAAAAATTAATAAAGATCTTCATTTCAAAGGGAAGTAATAACAGTTGCATTTTTCTTGAGTGATTAATTTTTCTGATGTTCTTCATTTCAAATTTTGACTATGAAATACAGCAGAAAAAAGTTTATATTATGGAATTTTGCCATTTTTAGTTGTCTAGTTTTAACCTTTTTTGAGTTATGAATCATTAGGTTACCTCAATTTTTGTTCTTTGTCAAAATGAACCTTAACTGTAGACTATTAAGAGTAGGTGGTTTGTTTTTACCCTTTCATTTTAGTTTTGGGTGGGAGTCACAAAATAGGTCTTAACAATTAGCATTGGCAGAATTTGTTGAAATGTTATTGTTTTATTTCTCTTATTTAGGAACAGCATCTGAAGATGGTAAGAATTATACATTTTGCTAGTAACACAAATACCTCAATATTAATATTTTCATCAATAGGAATTAAATATTGAAAACTAAAATAGGCTAATTTCTTTGCAAATTTATATTATTTGCCAGCTGTGGTAGCTTCTACATTTTATGCTTGGTTTATGTCAGCTATATATGTGGATTTTCTTTTTCTTCATTCTGGAGTTTTGCTTTGTATCTTCAATCATCTCATGCTGGAAAAACATAATTACTTAACATGTTTAATAATATCTAGTATAAAGTTAGCACACAGTTTCATTTGTTTCCATAGTGACAGTAATGCTTTTCTTTTGTTTTGGTGTTTGTTTTTTTAATGTATACCAACTTACTTATATGTGGGAAAGCATGTGCCATTGCTTTATTGGAGATTAAATATCATCTTTTAAATGTATCTTTGTTTTTGAATTAGTTGCTAGGGAATTAAATATGTAATTTGAATTTGAGAGTACAAAACACTTGCTAGATATAATATTTTATTTTACTGAGTCCGCTTACTTAAAAATTAATATTTATTGCTTTTTGATTTGTAGGGAAGGAAAAAATTCAATTTTTATATTTATCCTACATGAAGTCTGTCTTATTAAATATCTGATTGGATACACATTTTCTTTTCCCTAAGTCTTACATGGATGTGACACTTTCTTGTGATACAAAACCAAATATGATAGATTTAACTTGTTCTTTTTCTCAAATTTCTCTATTTGAAATCTTTTCATATTTTATGTTTTAAGTTGGAATTCTTTATGAAGATAGTTTCTGGCATTGTGTTATTAAAATTTACCAATACTTAAGTTATCCTAATTTCTTTGTTACATTGGATAAATTATCTATTTCAAAAATATTAATTTTATCTTTCTGTTTTATTTCTTAGTCAGGAGAACATTGTATCCAACTCTACACAGACTCTAAAAGTGTGAAAGGCCTAACCTATGGGCTTTTTTTATGGAATCTTGAAGAAGTTGATAGAGTGTAGGACTCTACCAACTATACTTCTGGTTTTGTTTTTGTTTTATTCCCAATTCTTATTCTCTTACCTTAATTCTATAGTTTCTCCTTAATATTTCAGTTATTTTTCGTGGCTGATAGTCATATTAGGCTAGAGGGTATATTGCGATTGCCCTACAAATTGTACCTTTTAATAAAAAAGATTCTGAGCCCTTCTTTGTGATAGTGGTTGAAACTATATCTTAAAAAGACCAAAGTACCTGCTTTAATAAACGTTATCTCTTTTGGTTTAAGAGCTCCAGAGATAGATGTTTGTGGCTTGGTTTTATGGAGGGGATGAGTCTTGTAGAGGAGAAGGGAGTACAGCTGAGACATAGAGAAGGAACTGTGTTGAGAAAGTTGCCAACTTTTGTGTGATAGCTACTTCTCAAATCATTTTATTAATGAAATTGGTTGCTTGGGGGAAGACAATTGTAAACACATCCATATCCATCTGTAATAATCTGAGGTTTAGCATAGGATAACAGGATTAAATATTTTACCTAGTAAAATGTTCTTGCAAATCTCTTTAGAAGAAGTATATTTTTAATTAAATGAATGTTTGGGTTGTTGTTCCTTTATTTAATATGCTCTGGATTTGAGAATAAATGTCATAGATACTGAAATTTTAGAGTTGGAATTACCAAAGAGGATGTCTATGGTAACTTTTTTAGTTATAATTTTACTGGACTACTCAAACTAAGAATAGAAATCTTTTAGTTTGACTTTACTCTTATCCTTGGTGGAAATTTAACTTATGGTGGAACACATAAAAGACAGTATGCATTTTTTAAATTTTAAGAGAAGTATAACCTATAAGTGGTGACTATATTATTACAGAATTTAAGAATACTTGGAAACCACACTCACATTACAAAATTTTAGTGAGACTTTCCCCCTCATTACTAAATATTATTATACAAAACTGCCTTTATTTATGTAAAGCATTTTATTCCTTAGGTCGGGTGAGAGCAAAGCTTTCAACACCACTTGCTGGCATAGGAAATGCCAAGACAGATTCCAGAGGAAGAAGTCGAACAAAAATGGTGTCTCAGTCACAGCGTACGTATTGCCTATCAGTTCTCCTATATTTGTAATACGTTATGATAAGTATGTTGCTTATATATTACTGTATTAGGAGATTGACCAGTGGATAAAGACAAAGCTAATTTTAAAAAGACAAGCCACATACTGAGTTCTTGTTCTATACTTTAGGTTCATCATCACCTGACAAAAATGAAGGTATTTTTTTTTTCCCAATGTTTTGGGTCAGTTGTTGTGCATGTTTTGGAATTTTTTTGAGTGGGTGTTGTCTTGTCTTTGGTGTGTTATTAGGGCTGCATCATTAATATCTGCCACTTAGAAAGAAAAACTTCATCTGCTGTATAAACTTTTGCATGCAGATATTTTAAGTAGCACAGAACTCTTAGTATTAAAGTTTTGACAATTTACTCAGAACCTTGCAAATAGAAAATTGTGCTTTTTAGAGGCAAAATAATTGCCATGTATTAACATCTAATCTGGTTGCATCTAACTAATGCTATTCAAGGACAGATAAATGGTATCTTCATTTTTGCCCCAAAATCTATTAGAATATAGTTAGCATTTTTGGCAGCTATAAACTGATTCATAGTGAGGAAACAACTTAAAAAGACCAGTGCTGTTACATTTCTTATTAAATTTAATATTTATATTTTTGCTATTTTATTGGAAGCTGAGCTTCTGTAAAAAGCCAGTTGTTAAAAAGCACAATTTTGAGGCCTAGGTTAAATGTATGATCCATTTTACATGGTCCACAACAATAACACATATACTTATGGCATTATTAATTTAAAGCAGCTTGTACCCATTCTTCTTTACCAAAAGATTTTCATTATCACTTATCTCTAAAAATAGAAATTTTTTTCTAGGAAGTCATTCTGGGGTTATTTTACATACAGGCTATTTTGGAAAGGAATAGATTTAACTATCTTCCATGTTGCTTAGGTGTTTTATCTAGAAAAAGAAGCCCTATTTTGTTTCCTTTTTAATCTGATTCCTTAATCTTAGAATCAAAGAAAAGATAGCTGAGCTTGGAGAAGGCCCAAGGTGATGAATATATAATCTACCTAGCAGATTCTTCTCCCCTCCTCTTTCCAAAGCCAAAGAATCCAGGCAGAATAACAGAGCACTCAACAAGAGTCCTAAAAATAAGCAGAAATGTTCAGTAAAATTACAAATTTTACAAATAGAAAAAATGGCAAATGCCTTCTGAGTTAGGGCTTTTCTCCCAACCAATTAGGAATGGATAATATCACAGTCTTCCCTGACCTTGTGTGTTTTTAGAATACTCTTTTAAAGTAACTTAATCTTTAGCAATGTGTCATAGCAGTTTAGTCTTTGATAATTCAAATGTCTGCCCAGTCCAGCATCAGCATCACTGCGAACTTGTTAGGAATGCACAATCTTATGCCATATTTAATTCAATCTGTAATAAGGTCACCAAATCATTTGTATTACAAAAAAGTGAGAATTATTGATTTAAATCACAGAGCCCTAGCCGATTTGGCTCAGTAGATAGCATTGGTGTACAGACTGAAAGGTCCCGGGTTTGATTCCAGTCAAGGGCACATGCCTGGGTTTCAGGCTCGATCCCCCAGTAAGGGGGAAGTGCAAGAGGCAGCCAGTCAGTTTCTCTCTCATCATTGATGTTTCTATCTCTCTCTCCCTCTCCCTTTCTCTCTGAAATCAATAAAAATATATTGGGAGGAAAATCACAGACTCCAGCGCCATACTGCCCAGATTTGAATCATGGCTCCTCCAGATTTTTTTAAGTTATATTTACATATACTCATCTGTAAAGTAAAGAGCATTTTCTCATAGGATTGTTGTGAGGATTAAGTAATGAGAAGTACATTTAATAAACTTAAGACAATGCCTGGGCCCAGAGTAAGTAGTATATATTTTAGTTAATAAAATTTGTTATTCAAAACCTAATGTCAACTTAACGTTATACTCCTGTTGTGTACTTCTATACTGTGTTATTCTGTGGCCTTCAGGAAACAAAAAAAATAAATAATGAAGTTTGAAAATGTGAAGTTTAAAGACTGAATTCACAGTAGAGATTCGAAGTGCTTAGTGTATGGATTTTTAATATATTACTTAATGGCCTCACTTTTAGGTGTATTTAACTACTTCATTAGATATAGCATAATTTTTATATTGACTTTTTAAAATATAAACTTTAAAACTCTAATCCACAATACTTCAAAAATCTTTCCTAAAGAGTAAGAACGGCCCTAACGGTTTGGCTCAGTGGATAGAAAGTCGGCCTGTGGACTGAAAGGTCCCAGGTTCAATTCCAGTCAAGGGCATGAACCTTGGTTGCAGGCACATCTCCAATAGGAGGTGTGCAGGAAGCAGCTGATGGATATTTCTAACTCTCTATCCCTTTCTCTTCCTCTCTGTAAAAAAATCAATAAAATATGTTTTTTTAAAAGGAAAAAAAAGAGTGAGAACATAATGATAGGATTTTAGACCTAAGTAGATTTTAAAACTAGAAGACATTTTTATTATACTTAGATTTAAATCATGCTGAAGAGGTTTTTGCTTGCTTATTTATTTGAATGACTATATGTTCCATTCCACATCCTCTTGAAAAAAGATATTGTGGCCTATAGAATTTGATGCAAGTTTCCTTATAATATGTTTACAAAATTATTGCTGTGATACCCATCTCACTTTGTTGTAGAGTAATTCATTAGGGTTTGCATGGTATTTCCATATTTTTATGTCATCATTTAGAAAAAAACTCTTGGATCAAAGCAGGTGTGTTATGATGGTTAACCAAAATAAATAAAAGCAGACCAAGTTTGAGACTTCCAGATTTATATTTATGTAAGGATTGTGTCTTTTTGCTTTTGTTGTTGGTAGTGACTGGTTGTGTACAAATGATTGTACAGCCTGTCAGAAACTTGCCTCCCTTCCCCAACCCACACTCTGCCATTTGTTTTATTGTGTGTCTTAAGAAAGATAAAATGTGTAGCTTTTTCATGTAATTTTTCTTCAGCTATAAGATGTTATAGTTCTTCTTTGCCTATAGTTTAAAATTAAATGTTTAAGTAATAAAAACTTAAACATTTAATTATTTAGATTTTAGGCCATCAGAAGAAAAGCTGAAGAATTTATATTTATTTTTGCAACTTCATTTCATCTGCTTTGTACATGAGTGTCTTATTTCAGCTTATCAGCTACAAAAACTACTAAATGTACCTGCTTTTACAGACATCTATGGTTTTGGGATTTTGGGGTTTTTTTTGTTTTTTGTTTGTTTGTTTTTTTGCTTTATAGTTTTTTATTGACTAAAGCTTTCTTATTTCCATCTGCCATCCACTTTAATTCTACTCTTCCCCTCAACATGGATTATAACCCTTACCCTAATTCTGCCTTTACACTTGTTCAGGATCACAATCTGCTAATACCATTGGTGGTAAGAATCTGTAGACTCTATGTGTCCATCTATTGTTTGATCACCTACTTTCATTATCAAGAATGGGTTCTATTCAGCAGAAATTTGTAACATAATGGCCCATCACTTTGGAGCTATTTTGCCTATTATGATTTTTCCTTGGGCTGTCTTTTATTACCAAAACCCTGGATTTTAAAAATTATTCAAGTTGACCCCACAGGTATAAACATGCAGAAGCAAAGGAGATTTAGTAATGCTTTGAAAATATAACAATATAAAATGGTAGTTTGAATACTTTAGGCAGTACAAGAGAAATTAGGCATCCATTTTTAATTTTTACAAATTAGAGTATTTCCTACGTAGTAATGTGATACTTCCTAGGTATATCATGCCCCTTTTCACCGCTCTGTGGTTTTCTTAGAAATAATTAGCCTTGGTAGTTCTTGCTAAGGAAAGAGCCCTTCTTATTTTCTTCTAAGTATAAGTTATTCCAGGTGAGTCATAGGCACTGCAGTTATCTTTGGATAAATTCAATATATCTAGAATAGGTGGAATGGTTACCCTCCTTCTATACTGTATGTTTGCTGTCTGCTGAATAGACCCACACTTCAAGGAATTCTCTAGTCTCCTACAAATACCTCTGCCCCTAAACTTAATACTAGTTTTAACTGAATACCATATTGTACATGTTCAGTTCAGTTCATTATTTCCACTTTTTATATTGTTGCAAGTGTTCCCATAAAATATTCCATCAGCTTATGTTGCATTGTGAGTTTGTGGCATGTTGGGTGTTTGGATGTTTTGGTGTGTATGTTTAGTTTAGACACTGCATGGAGAAATAGGTGTCTTGTGAGTATCTGTAAGGTTATAACTTAAACCTGATTTAAAGATTCTTCACCTGAAACATCATGAAATAATTCATATGAGCCACATTTTAAAGTAGACTTGAATAATTTCCCTACAATAATTTAGAATTTCTTCGACTCAAATAGTAGTCGTTAATTTTATTAGAAACACTGCTTTGTTTTACAATATTGCTATAACCAGTGGAAGTTATATTTCATATTGTGTACTGGTAAAGTTTAGGAATTAAGCATATATTTATACTGTATTCAGGAATCCAAGCCAAGAAAGCTATAGCAAGGGTCACAGATCAGCAGCCCATGGACCACATCCTGCCTGTCTTCATTCATGTATTATTTGGTCTACTACACAACATAATAAAAATCAGGAAATTTTAAAGCTTCAATTTTTTTTTTTTTTAATTTTCAAACCTGGCCAGTATCACCTCAAGACAGCTGGCTGGAACTAAAAAGTCACTACTCCCTGCCTTACTTTAAGCACTGTACCCTCACTGACATTCTTATCTCATTGGCATTTGAATCTTTAATCTCTGCTCCATGGAAATGAAATGTGATTGGGTAAGATTGCACAAGGTGAGCAGTGACTGCCCTGTTGGTTAGGAGAAGTAATGCCAACAAAGGGGAAATGTTGTTCATGAAGATTTATTTGTGTTCAGGTTTAATTTTTCTATATTACTACCTACCATTCAGAAAAACCTAGAGTCAGATTATATCTTGCAGTTATCTAGTCAATGCAGACATAAAATGTTTTCACAAGGAGCTCATCCCCTGAAAAGTTAACTCGGGCAATTCTAGTTTTAAAACAAGTTTCTTAAGTTTTTGTTTTTTTTAAACCTTTGCCTTAATCTCTGAGATTTGATTTACCTCCTCTATTTCCCCGACCACATATCCTGTTCCTTTCCAGACTGAGTATCGCCAGGTTGGTGACATTTGCCTTTTGGTCCTATTCAACCCTCAGTACTTCTACATCTCAGACTGTGACACTCAAGATCCCTTTGCTATTTAAAGACAAATAGCAAGTTTCTTTTCAACTGGCCAATTTTATAAACATTTAAAATTTAATTTTGTAAACATTTTAAAAATAACTTTGTTATGCCCATTCAGAGGCATTCTCAGCAGGACAACTTAACATGAAGCAAGTTTTTATTATATTTTCAACAAAAACAATAGCAGTAACAGATTATTTTTTTTTCTTTCCTTTTTAATATATGGCTTTAGTCATATGAAATGTATTGCCTGAAAGTTCTTTCTTTGGAAATCTTTTATACTATCTGTGTTCCGAAAATCATAATAGTGTTGTCCTTATCAAACATAGATGGTATCTTGTACCTCCCAAAATTTTAAGTGTATTTCACATGATTTACCATTCAGTTTAAGTATTTGTAGTATACTCTGAGTGGCCAGATTATTATGATCTCTGAACGCGTAATAATCTGGCCACTCAGTGTATATCCTATATAATAAAAGGCAAATATGCAAATTGTCCCCTCAACAAGGAGTTCAACCAGCAGGCAGGCCGGCCAACAGCCCATGTCCCCCTGGCTAGGCTGGCTGGACCCCACTGATGCACAAATTCATGCACGGGGCCTCTAAATATACATACACACACACACACACACACACACACACACACACACACACACACACACTGAGTGGCCAGATTATTATGTGTTCAGATATCATAATAATCTGGCCACTCAGTGTATGTTTTTTTCCCATAGGTTATGGGTATATATATATAAATTTTTTTCATATCATTTTCTTGGCACTTAGTTACCATACTAGCACAGTGTTCTCAGATGTATTTCTTAAATTTTTATCCTTTCAGCAAGTTCTCTTGGAATTCACACCTTAACATTTGTGTGTGTGTTTGGTTCAGCTGGCAGCCGGTCTGGATCTCCAGGAAGAGTTCTGACCACAACGGCCCTCTCCACTGTGAGCTCTGGTGTTCAAAGAGTCCTGGTCAACTCAGCCTCAGCACAGAAGAGAAGCAAGATACCACGGAGCCAGGGCTGTAGCAGAGAGGCTAGTCCTTCTAGGCTCTCAGTGGGTAAGATTTTCTACACGAGACTTGGAACCTTTTATTTCTTTTGTGTTCAGGTTTTGGTAGCATTGAAGACTGATTATAGCCACTTATAAGTTAGAGGAAAACAACTTAAAATCCAAGGAAAATTGAAAAGTAGGTTATAAATTGAATTAGATAGTTTATCTTAAAAGTATAATTCATGTAATTACTAAACTATTATTTTACCCTTCTAATCTAAAACAAATTAGAGGTTTGTATTCAAGAAATTTAACCATATTTCTGGTAATGCTTTGTTTCTAGGAAGAGTTAACTTCTTCCCAACCTTAGAAAACTTAAGCTATTGATCCGTTTTCAAGAAAGAAAAGTAAAACCAAAATATCCAAAATACAAATTCTGTCTTCTATTTTCTCCCTTTTGAATGCTGCTGATGCTCTGGACTAGCCCGAAGCAGCCGCATTCCTCGACCAAGTGTCAGTCAAGGGTGCAGCCGAGAGGCCAGTCGGGAGAGCAGCCGGGACACAAGTCCTGTCCGTTCTTTCCAGCCCCTCGGTAAGTATTTGGCAGGTGTGAGGTACACTGCTTTCCCCTTGTTGTTATCACCAGGTGATAACCGCAGCATACGCTGGGTTTAGCTTTCTGTAGCGAATGTATCTTCAGCTCTACCTTTTTTCTACTTCTTTGAGGAAAGAGACAGAAGGAAATTTTATATTTGGGACATATCTTTGATGTTTGTTTACCTTAAATGAGCAAGTTTGACATTGTATAAACAAATTGTCTTTATAATCCAGTAAATATCACACAGATTTAAACTACAGAATATTGAATTCAGTATTTTTCTTAACAAATAAACCAAACCCATAAAATTTAAATATAACATATATTTACTCAACTGAAATATGAATTGTTTGAGTACTTTTGTCCTTATCAGCAAAAATATTAATATTTCTACTTATATATTGGGCTTCGGTTACTGGAAAGAGTACTGCAGAATAATATGTGAACTACTTACTAAAATGGGCAAGAATTATTTTTACATTATTTTCCAGTTTGTCATTACCTATATATTATATGGCTCATGTCATGTCATTGCTGTAGAACCTATCTGTCCCTCATTATAGAGGTTGTATTATAACCTTGTTTATAAGACTATATAACATTATATGTACCTCAGTTATAAAAATGTTTAAAAAAATTTAAGCCTTTAATGTTTTAGAATAATGGAAAGGCAGAATATTTTTCACTGAAACTCTTTAGGGTTTCTGCATGGCCCTCTAACATTTTTAACTAGCACTTTGATTATATGCACATACATGTAGCCATTTCAGACTTTTCTTTGAATTTTATAAAATTTAGGTAACTAATACTTGGAGATTTGCTTTCCAGACTTTATGACACTTAAGTAGATCATAGGTCTTACTGTCTATTGGAATTATTTCCTTCAACAGACATGTTAGTATAGAATTTCTAGAGATTAATTTATTGTTCTATGGATCACTTGGCTCAAATATATCACTAGATTGTCCTTTGTATTGGACACTTGGGCCTCTGGGCCTCTAGTAGTACATAATTAGTAGACTTAATATCCTTATCCTTATATGGATCACTTGGCTCAAATATATCACTAGATTGACTTAGAAAACCCCATTGAGCTGGGGACACAGACAGGGATATTCTTAATCTGTTGTGTAGCCAAGCGTGCCAGATAAAAGAGTCCCTTTCTGTATATTGCCAGAGATCTTTTTAATTCATATACAGTACTTTTAGTCTGTGGAGTATCTGTGTGTGTGCACATATGTACACACATACATTAAGAAGTAAAATAAGCCGAAACCGGTTTGGCTCAATGGATAGAGCATCAGCTTGGGGACTGAAAGGTCCCAGGTTCGATTCCGGTCAAGGGCATGTACCTTGGTTGCGGGCATATCCCCAGTAGGGGGTGTGCAAGAGGCAGCTGATAGATGACTCTCTCTCATCGATGTTTCTAACTCTCTGTCTCTCTCTCTTCCTCTCTGTATAAAATCAATAAAATATATATTTTTTAAAAAGAAGTAAAATAAAGCCGACACCAGTTTGGCTCAGTGGATAGAACATCGGCCTGCAGACTGAAAGGTCTCAGGTTTGATTCCGGTCAAGGGCTTATACCTAGGTTGCAGGCACATTCCCAGTAGGAGGTGTGCAGGAGGCAGCTGATCGATGCTTCTCTCTCATCGATGTTTCTAACTCTCTATCCCGCTCTCTTCCTCTCTGTAAAAATCAATAAAATATATTTTTTAAAAGAAGTAAAATAAATTATACATTTGTATAAATTAAGTGTGCAACCTTCAAGAATTGAAGGAAATAGAGTAGATATAGGGCTAAGAGCATATATTCTAGAGCCAGATGGCCTAAGTTCTTACCCAGCTTTGTAACTTTTCTATACCTGGGTGTCCTCATCTGTAAAACTAGGATAATGAGTAGTGTGTACTCAGGGTTGTTTATAAAATGCTATAAATGAGAAAATGTATGAAAAAACCCTCAGAGCAGTGTCTGTCTTCACTGTTGCTGCTCCTGCACCTCTTCCCCTGAGGCTCTAATTGCTCACCTAGAAATAGTTTCGTTAGGTTCTAGGATCTTAGTTTTTTTTAATGGTCTAACACCTGCATTTGTATAATAATACTACAGAATTATTATGAAACACAAGATAAGAAGAAACAAAAACGTGTGTCTGTACTTTTAAAATTTGTATAATAGAGAGTAAAGGAAATTTACAGCCAATATTTAATTAAAACATTGTTGCCCTTGTATCGTTCAGTGGTTAGAGTATTGGCCCATACACGAAAAGGTTGTGGGCTCAATTCCTGGGCAAGGGCATGTATTTAGGTTGCAGATTCACAGATGGGGTGCATGCAGGAGGCGACCAATTGTGTGTCTCTCATTAATGTTCCACTTTCTCTACCTCTCTCCCTCCTTTCTTCCCTCCTCCTTTTTCGTTCCCTTCCTCCATACTGTCCTCTCTCCCTCCCTTCTCTCTCTAAAAATCAATGGGAAAAATATCCACAGGTGATTATAAACACAATAAATAACTAAAATAAAATAAGCATTGTTACTGTTTATTTTTAAGAAATTTGTTGTCTAGCCATTAATTTTCTAGATTCATCTCAAAGCTTCCATTTGACAATTTAAGTCACTTGAATTTTATTAAAGGAAGCAGTTTTTCTGATTCTAATGAAATACTCTATTTCAGTTAAGGATATTAAGTCTACTAATTATGTACTACTAGAGGCCCAGTGCACGAAATTCGTGCATGGGGTGGGGGGTTGTCCCTCAGCCCAGCCTGCACCCTCTCCAATCTTGGACCCCTCGAGGGATGTTAAACTGCCTGTTTAGACCTATTGGGATCGGGTCTAAACGGGCAGTCGGACATCCCTCTCACAATCCAGGACTGCTGTCTCCCAACTGCTCGCCTGCCTGCTTTCCTGATTGCCCCTAACCGCTTCTGCCTGCCAGCCTGATCACCCCCTAACCACTCCCATGCCAGCCTGATTGATGTCTAACTGCTCCCCTGCTAGCCCGTTTGCCCCCAACTTCCCTCCTCTGCCGGCCTGGTCACCCCTAACTGCCCTTTCCTACAGGGTTGATCGCCTCCAACTGCCCTCCCTTCCAGACCTGGTCCCTCTCAACTGCCCTCCCCTGCTGGCCATCTTGTGGTGGCCATCTTGTGTCCACATAGGGGCAGAATCTTTGACCACATGGGGGCAGCCATCTTGTTTGTTGATGGTCAATCTGCATATTACTCTTTTATTAGATAGGATAGTTTTAGAAGAATTTACTTTTATAGCCCTTTTATTTACATACTGATGCACGAAATTCATGCAAGAGTAGGTCTTCCTTCCTCCAGCTGCTGGCACCGGCTTCCCTCTGGCACCTGGGACCTGGGCTTTCCTCCAGCCACCAGCAGGCACCTGGGACCCGGGCTTCCCTCATAGCCCCTGCTTCGTCCAGAGGATGTCCAATCTAATTAGCATATTATGCTTTTATTATTATAGACTTGAGGCCTGGTGCACGAATTCATGCCTAGGTAGGGTCAGTCAGCCTAGAAAGTGATCGAGGCCTATTGGGGGACCAGCCAGCCAGGAGGAGGGACCATGGGAGGTTGGCTGTGGGAGCACACTGACCACCAGGGATCAACTTCTGCATTTAGTGTCTGCCCACTGGTTACACATCATAGCAACCAGTCATTTGGTTATAATGATCACTTAGACTTTTATATAAATAGATGGATACTGCATAGTAAAGTTATCAGATAAGCCCTATTTGTTACACAGGGTTTAAGAGTAGCATTTCCAGAATGAGGTTTTCCCCTCTGTTCCCATTTCCTGCTGTATTTTCCTATATTCTACTGTCCTTATTTTATTGGTGAATCCTTTTGTTGCCTGTAACTTAAATATTGCCATTTAGCAAATGGATTTCATAGCTTGTCATTTACTCAATGGTAGCACATGGCCAGTGTGAGGGCCCTAAAACATCACAAATCAATCAAAGCTGAGCAAAGCTGAACTTCCCCAGAACTTGCACCCTTAGTTTTCATTTATTTCCAGTACTAAGAAAGGTTTAAATTATGACAAGCACATGAGTGTTGCCTCTTACCCTCTTATCTTCACCAACATATAACTACTAATTACTTTAAGTGTTGAAGAGATTTTCATTCATTAGGCATTGCTATATTGGTTCAACTCTTTCTCACCATTATAGAAATTATTTCTATTGAGTAAAATTAAAACTAACTATATATGCCCAGGCAGTGTAGCTCGCGGTTGAGCATCAAACCAAGAACCAAGAGGCCAATGGTTCAATTCCTGGTCAGGGCACATGCCCAGCTTGTGGGTTCAATCCCCTCTGAGGATTTTGCAGAAAGCAGCCAATTAATGATTCTCTCCCATCATTGATATTTCTCTCTCTCCCTCTCCTTTCCTCTCTGAAATCAATAAAAATGTATATATTTTAAAAACTATATATAAGTATGTTTACTAACAATAAATGAATTATCTTTCAAGGTCTAATAAAGCATTTTGTGCAGCAGTCTATCTGTTTAATCCTTCCTTTAATCTTTATTATCATTCTTATTAAGTTCCTGTGGCAAAGGAAAGAGTGATTTATGAAACAAGAGTATTTTTAACTGCTCTAATTAATATATCTGAAGAAGAGTAATTTTTAGAATAAAAGTAATATATTTTGTTAGATATCAATATGCATTTTTTTCCTGACTATTTGTTTCTACGTGTATGAAAAATATTGCCTTTATAGTGATCTTGTGGACTTTAAGATCTAAAATTGTAAATTAGATTTAGAGAAATAATGCCATAAGGGCATGGAGATGTTTCACACATTTCTGGGTTTTTTAAATATTAAATTTGTAATGTTCTTTTTTTGATGTTCAAATATACTTTAATATTTAAATAATCTACTGAATGTAGAACTTACAGTCTATGAACTATAAGAAGAATGTTTGTTAACATAAATGATATATGTTATCTTTTGAACAATGTGAAGATGGTAAATGTGAGATACTAGGCCTGGAAAGAGTAAGATACTGAGGTGTATCACATACAAGTGTGGCTTTGATCAGGTTAATTAATCTTTCTCTGTGCTTTAGCTTTCCTATTTATAAAATAGAATAGTAATAACTTTCATTGGGTTTAGGATTGGAGGAGATAGGATTATTATTGATTACTAGTTACCATAGTGGTTTTTTTTTTTTCAAACTACAAAACTCATTTTTTTGTTTCATGCTTGTACTTTTGACATTTCCTCCCATTTGAATACTTACTTTTTTTTTTTTTTTTGTCTCTTGTGGGATTGTCTGTCCCCTAAGGTGTAAGATCTGTTGTGTGTCAAGGATGATGTTCAATTGCTAATGTTCAGTTACCCTGTTTGGCAGTGTTCTGATCCTTATCTATTAAAAGTAATGCCAGTGTTAACTAATTCTCCTTGCCTGCCTGTAGTGCTGCCACTATTCCTTGTTTCTGTGGTAATAGATGAGGTTTGTATGGTCCTGTTATTCCAGCCTCCAGACACCATTCCAGATCTACTGGTGCCCTCTACGCCCCCGATGTGTATGGGGCCTCAGGTGAAGGATGAGTACATTTTCACTCTCATCTGTGCATTCATCTCAGATTTTTGTCCTTTTCAGTTTCCATTGAATAATATTCATGTTTTAAAATTAATTTGTTTTTTATTTAAATTTAATTTGTTGGAGAATAAATCATTTGTGGTATTTTTATTTTCTTCCAACTAATTTTTCCCCTTTGGCAACCTTATTTGAACTTTTTTTTCATTGGCAGATGTACATTTTTTTTTGTATAATCTAAGTTATGTCATTTTTAAATACAGAATTGTTTTATGTTCTCAGTTATATACCTCATCTTTGTACATTAAAAAAAAAAAAACCAAAATGGTGGATGAAGTGTTTTAATTGTGCATGATGGTATAGAAAGTAGTTAAGGGGGAGAACCCATCTGGTTTGTCTTCACATACTTCAAGATGTCAGGCACTTATTAGTAGGTACTTAACAAATATCAAATGATATGTCTTAGTTGTAAAATGAATTCAGCCTGTCTTGCAGGAGAAGAGGTAATAATTAGAGGAGTTTTTCTCTTTTAAAGTCCTGGTGTGGCTTCAGTGAACTTAATCATTATTGGTGTAAGGATTGAAATTTGTTCTAGTCTCACCAATGTGGATGAGATTGGTCCGACTGAGAGCTGGATTAATTATAATGCTACAGACTTGTAAGCTCCTAGTCAGCCAGCCATGCTTTCTTCCATCTTCTAATTGTAAATGTATTGTAACTGCTGGTCTTTAAGTTTAGTTTTTACAGATTGTCAGCAATTTTAATTGCCTTTACCGTTTTATTGACCAAAAACTATATGTACCAGAAAATATTGTATTGCTTTTAAAATGCTTTCCCCATTGGGTTTTTTTTTTTCTTCTTCTTCTTCTTCTTCTTCTTCTCCTTAAGGATCTTAAAGTTTCTAACCTGTCCCTGTTACATTTATGACTCTCTCAAATCTGTTTTCCTTCTTCTGATGAATTAGGTCCAGGATATGGGATCAGCCAATCAAGTCGACTATCATCTTCTGTCAGTGCCATGCGAGTCCTGAACACAGGTTCTGATGTGGAGGAGGCGGTGGCAGATGCCTTGGTACTTTTCTTTATTTTCTTATCTTTATAGATGTTCTAATTATGGAACTAATGTATGAGTAAGCCAGTCCACAGGGGCAGAAGGAGGGTGGGAAAATTCTTATGGTTTGAATCTAGGAAGATCACATGTGACCAATATTAAAAGCAGCATAATTAATTCTTGATCTTTATTAATTAAATGATGGCCAATAGTAATTGATGGGATGTCAAAAATATAAATACTGATGTCTAATCTGGTGATGTGTTTTATTCACAGATTAGAATATATACTCTATGAGCCTATAATTTCAAGGCTAAGTTAACCTTGAATATTTGGAGATTGTTTTAGTTCAGAGTAGATTTTGTTTAGTTTTTTACTTATTTGTATTTTCAGAGCGAATAGAAAGTACAACTTCAAGATACATTTTAATATATCTTTCTGGTTCTTTATGCCTGATACATTTAAGTGAACTTTAAAAATATAAAATACAGCCCTAGCTAGTATGGCTTGGTGGAAAGAGCATCAGCCTGTGGACTGAAGGGTCCCAGCTTCGATTCCGGTCAAGGGCACATGCCTGGGTCACGGGCTCAGTCTCCAGTGTGGGGCGTGCAGAAGACAGCCAATCAATGATTCTTTCTCATCTATGTTTCTCTTCTTCCTCTCCCTACCTCTCTGAGATAAATAAAAATATATTTTAAAAATAAATAAATAATAAAAACATCATATACAGATAAACTCTTTCATAAGAGTGTATTACATATATCACTGCTGCTTTTCTCATTTAAAATTATGAAGGAAGTGTCATTTGAAACAATTAAAATAATGGGCTTTTTCCAGTTTCCTAAGTCAATTCAGTATGACACTTCCTTTTTCAAATTATATTAATCTTGAAACTTAAAAAAGGCTTCATCTTTGTTTTGAAATTAAAAAATACTTTTAAAACTATAGCTCAATCTTACTCAGTGTTGATATAATATAGTTTTGCCAAAAAAGTTTTAAAAACAAGTTTAAAAAAATATTTGTCATCACTGTAATGTAATAAATGTAGTAATATGTGTAAATGTGAAATTAAAAAATACTTTTAAAACTATAGCTCAATCTTACTCAGTGTTGATATAATATAGTTTTGCCAAAAAAGTTTTAAAAACAAGTTTAAAAAAATATTTGTCATCACTGTAATGTAATAAATGTAGTAATATGTGTAAATGTAGTAATATGTGTAAATGTGCTAAGCACATACAATCTGTATGTGCTTAGTTTTTCTTTTTATCTCCACCATTTGATTATTTTTAAATAAATTAAAGTAACTAAGTAGGAACTTCATTCTCTTGGGCATTGGATATATTGATCACATCTTGTTCTGATGATACTAAATCAGATGTTTTAAATTTATGGTTTTCAATTCATATTTTCTAGTTTCTTTTTTTTCTCTAGTTTCTTTTTAATCAGATGATTTACCAGATAAATTCTGCTCATGTAAAATTTTATTAATTTAATGAGGTTTTTTAAAAAATATTACTTACAATACTAAATATTGAGATTTTGTGTTTGGCTTATATAGGGAATATTTAACCACCAGGGCCTAAAAGCTGAATCCCAATAAATTGATTTTTATCTATTTTCATTATTTGCATAGTATAGTAATTCCAGTTATAAATATCAGTTTTTAGGAAAAGACTTTCCAATTTGGACTATGGAAAAAATTATAGGAATAAAGTGAACTTTGGAAATACAAAAGGATCCAAATAGGAAAACTTGAATTGGGAAAACTGGTTAAGGGAATATTTTTATGCTACATAAAAATAAAAATAAAACTGGTTAAGGGAATATTTTTATGCTCCAAATATTTTCTTTGGACTAAAATATATTGGTGAAATTAAAGATATAGCCTGCTAATAAGCTGTTCTTATGTATCTATATATTAAAAAGTTTAATGTTTCTGATTATGAGCATTATGTATTCCTACTTCATTGTGCTGTGTAGCAAAATGTTCTTCATTATTTTTAATTTTTCTCTTTAAAAATTTACTGCTCTCAGCTCTTAGGAGACATGCGGACTAAGGTATAGACATTGCTACTTTATGAAATCTTATGATACCATAACTTTTTCTTTCCTTTTTCACATTAACAGATTATAGTGTACTATAAAAACTTCAAGTGAATAAAATCTTAAGACATACATTCTGGTTTTTTTTTATATGTTTGATTAAGAATAGGTAGATATTGGGGTTCTCATCCTTTAAACTTTAAGTACTTCATACAAATAGATGATGTCATTCACACTGATATCTTTAACAAATCCTGGAGCTTGACATGGGAAATGTCACATTACTGCTATTCTAAATTAAGTTGGGATCTCTGAATAATATGAGGCATTTAGTGGTGAAACGTCATTATATAATTTTTGAATTTGATTCAAATTATATTTCTTTTAGATTTTAGAATTGGAGAATTTATAGCCATCTGGAACTATTTTAAATAATAGTGCTTAACCTATTTTGTAGAAATGTCTTCACCTCTCACTTTTCAAATTCACTTATTCTATTTAACAGATTTTAGATTACATAAAGATTTGCTTTTAATTTTCCCAAGGAAATGTCAAATAATCCATTTACTCTCTCATTTCACTTTTGATACGCAAAGTATAATTAGCAGTTACATATCTACAATAATAAAAGCATAATATGCTAATTAAACCAGAATACCTTCCAGAATGAAGCCAGGACTACAAGGAAAGCTCGGGTCCCGGGTGCCAGAGGGAAGCTGGTGCCGTCAGCCAGGGGAAGGAAGGCCTACTCTTGCACGAATTTTGTGCATTGGGCCTCTAGTATTAAATAATAAACATGTAAAGGAATCTAAATATACTTTCTCATATTTATTCAAATAGATGGTATAGACACATTGGGGAAAACTTAGAGGACCCTCAAGGAGCTTGCCTCTTATAAATAATAGTAAGCAAAACTGGTTCTCATCATTCTTTGTATTTTACTTCTCAAGGTGACATGAGAGTTGTGTATAAGGGGAAAAGGAGTGGAAGAGAAAGGATAGTGGAGGTAAAAGAGAGTAGAAAGAGATGTAGACAGGAAAAATAGAACTTTACTTGAGTGTTGTTTTTTTTAATCCATTGTCCATTTCCTAATCCGGTCTCATCCTTTAAAAAGGTGATACCCTGTTTCCCCGAAAATAAGACAGTGTTTTATATTAATTTTTTCTCCCAAAGTTGCGCTAAGTCTTATTTTCAGGGGATGTCTTATCTTTCCATGCGCTAGATCTTATTTTCGGAGGATGTCTTATTTTCGGGAAACACGAACTCAGATTTACCAATTCAGTTTACAGTACAGTTTCTGCTCATTTATAATTTGGTAGTCCTTGGTTTTCCAAGAAGAAAGAAGGAAAACTCACTTTTTTTTTTTTATCACTTCCTACTTACATATCTGAACTTTGATAGTGTTATTCTGCTTCTACCACTTCCCATAAAGAATAGTTCATCTTCTACAAAATCCTAAAACATGTTTTTTGAAAAAAACACACTACATATTGACATTATATTATTAAAATATTTAGCAGCATGCTTTGTACTGATTTTAAAACAAAAACCAGTCCTTTTGTATCAGTGGAAATTGTGAAATACCAGTGTTCTTTTAGCTATCCCTAATAAGAATCTTCATGTATATAACAGAAAAAACCTGCTCGAAGAAGATATGAGTCATATGGAATGCATTCAGACGATGACGCCAACAGCGATGCGTCTAGTGCTTGTTCAGAACGCTCCTACAGTTCTCGAAATGGTAGTATTCCTACGTATATGAGGCAGACCGAAGATGTGGCAGAAGTCCTCAATCGGTGTGCTAGTTCCAACTGGTCAGAAAGGAAAGAAGGCCTTCTGGGTTTGCAGAACTTACTAAAAAATCAGAGAACACTGAGGTGAGTTGTGCTGCCTTAAAATAATCGTCCTATTTAGCACTTTTTTACTTGACTTTGGTTTCTATAACACTTTAGAGGTACTGGTATATGAAAAGACTTGTCCTGAATTTAGAAGGTGGTATTTAAAATACTTCCCCAATCTTCAGTCCTTTCGGATGATCTGTACTATTATATATTATATTAAGAAATTTTCAAATTCACTTATTCTACTTAAAGAAACATATTTTAAAAAATATTTTTTTCTGCCGTAACTGGTTTGGCTCAGTGGATAGAGCATCGGCCTGCAGACTGAAGGGTCCCAGGTTCGATTCCGGACAAGGGCATGTACCTTGGTTGTGGGCACATCCCTAGTGGGGGCGGGGAGGATGCGTGAAGCAGCTGATTGATATTTCTCTCTCATCGATATTTCTAACTCTCTCTCCCTCTCCCTTCCTCTCTGTAAAAAAATCAATAAACATTTTTTTTTTTTTTTTTTAATTTTCCTGTCCTAACCAGTTTGGCTCAGTGTTGGCCTGCACACTGAAAGGTTCCGGGTTTGATTCCAGTAAAGGGCAAGTGCCTGGATTGCAGGCTCGATCCCCAGTAGGGGGCCTGCAAGAGGCAGCCAATCAGTGATTCTCTCTGATCATTGATGTGTCTATCTCCTTCTCTCTTCCTCTCTGAAATCAATTTTTAAAAATTTATTTAAAAAAATTTTTTTTTCTTGATTTCAGAGAGGAATGGAGAGGGAAAGAGAGAGAGAGAAACATCAATGATGAAAAAGAGTCATTGATCAGCTGCCTCCTGTACATTTCCCATTGAGGATTCAGCCTGCAACTCAGGCGTGTGCCCTGACCTGGAATTGAACCATGACCTCCTGGTTCATAGGGCAACGTACAATCATTGAGCCACACTGGCCAGGCTAAAGAAACTTTTTTAAAAAGATTTTTAAAGTTGATTTTAAATAGAGGAAGGGAATATTGCTTTGAGAATAAAACATTAGTTGGCTGCCCCCTGCCAGAGGTTGAGCCTACAACCAGGCATGTACCCTGACTGGGAATCAAACCAGGAACCTTTCAGTGCCCAGGTTGATGCCCAACCAACAAAGCCACACAGGCTAGAGCAAAAACATTTTAAAATGAAACGTTTTATTCACAAATACCGTGTTTCCCTGAAAATAAGACATCCTCCGAAAATAAGATCTACTTATAGGTTTCCTTTTCAGTGAAATATAAGGCATCCCCCTGAAAATAAGGCCCTCGTAGGCTAAACATGATAGATTTGGTCCACTGATTCTGAAAGAAATGGAGTCACAAGAAATTCACCAGGAAATTCAGGAATTGGATTGTTATGATGATCAGTGTTACTCATTGAATAAATGAGTAAATTCTTGATACTGTAGGATTCACAGTTTGTCTGGTTTGTGTTGACAACTACCGTACTACGGTACCGTATACAGGTAATAAATTTCCTTTATTTTCATTTAACAATAAATGTGTACCGTATTCTTCCTCATGGAAAGGTAAGACATCCCCTGAAAATAAGACCTAGCACATCTTTGGGAGCAAAAATTAATATAAGACACTGTCTTATTTTCGGGGAAACAGGGTAGATGTTAAATGAAAAATGTTACTAAGAGGAAAGAATTTATGTTCACCTGAAAATTAAGGTATATTTTTAGTGTTTGTGTAATATTTGAATCTTAGAGTAATATGAAATGGAATTGGAATGAATTTCTTTAAGGAGAGAAGTTTTATGGGTTTTTAGTTTGTGGTGGTTTGGGGTTTTTTTGGTTGTTTTTTTTTTCCTGATAGCTTTTACTTGCTTTTCCCCCTGAGTTCTTTGCTTTTATCTATATAATGTTTTAAACCTCTATAGACTTCCACTTTAAGAAGCTAGTTTCAGATACTGTGTAAATTTGAGTGTGGTGGATAATAAAAGGTTACTTTCTGACTTGATACCTTTTAAAATCGAAGTTTTATTAGCTGTGTATTTATTTTAGGAAGTATTAGCACTATATAATTTAAAATGAAAATATTTCTATGTACTATTTAATATAGTTTAATGTTTGCATATCATATTTCACGAGTCACTGCAATAAATCATTGTAATATTGTCCCCAGTCTTATCAGAATTAGGGTAATACTAGGTTCAGTATATCATCTTAAATGGCATAGTTGAGAAAGATTTTAGCCCTGAAATGACAGAATTTAAGAAAACATGTTTGCGTTTAAAAGGATAAGATTCTGGAAATGACATTTGTTCAATTTTCCCTGCCATGCTACATTAATAAAATGTAATTCTATTCCTTTATAACTTTCAGCTTTTACAGTAAAGTAGGTTGCAACAGAATTATTGTTGTATTTGATAAATTTATATTTAGCTCTAACAACTAAATCCTACAAATTCCTCAGTTTTGAGGGCTTATTTTTTTAAGCCCAATTATATGTAAGGTTACTTTTAAGTGACTTTTTCCTACAACAAGATATTAATTAGCCACTTTATTATTTTGACAGTCGAGTTGAACTGAAAAGACTATGTGAAATTTTCACAAGAATGTTTGCTGATCCTCATGGCAAGGTATGTTATAGTATTTAAGATTATTTACTCCTGTAGGTGTCATTTGTATATTGCCCCCCCCAAAAAATAATAACAAAATAAAGCTATTTTTATTATTGCCCTAGAATTGTAATAATCTTTTCAAATACAATTGAAATTGTTTTATATCGTACATAATTTAGAAGTTGCTCTCTGGTAATCATTTAAGCTTCTTGGAAGAGTGAATGTCTAAGACTACAAACTGAAGTGAATTTTAACAAGCTGGACTCTTATAAATTAGTCAGATGAGTATATGTATTTGTATTTTAAAACATTCCACTTTTTATAAAGGAAATAATTGGGTAAGTTTGTAACTTTTTATGCAGTTTTCTTCTCTGATTATTACAACATTAATGTAAACATATGCTATCTTAAAAGAACAGTTTTGTAGAAAAAAAATTTAATTAAATAACAAAGTATGGCTTTAGCAATTGTAATCTGAAAGAAGCAATTTGTATATTGAAATAGTCCATAAAAATTTAAGAATGTTATTCAGTTTTTAGTGTCGATTAAAACATATTTGATTAAGTACTTCTACATAATCTACATATGTACTGTGAACTTTTGCTTTACTTTGATGGACATTACTATTGTAAAATATATTCATTTATTTTGTTTTCAGCAGTGTATTTGACAATGGTGAAACTTTATTATGTATTTTCCTTTAGGATAGACACCAAGTATCTACTTGAGCATTTCTAACCCAGATGAGAGGGAGATGTGAAAAGGAAATAATAAGAAAAATATTAATGAATTTTACTTTACTGTGTGGTTTTTTTTTTCATTTTATTGTTGCACATATCATTTTCTCCCCTTTTTTTTTCTATCTCTGATCTTTTCATTACTTAACAACACTAGTTAAAAATTTTAAAATCCTACTTTAATCTAAAATCCAGCTAATAAGTTACTAATATTTTAAAATAGTAATTTTAAAATATTATTTTCTATCAGAAGGTATATTTATTTTATCCAAGAATGTAAAAATCCCATTTAAGACAAAGATTAAAGCAGTTTATTTAATAAAACTTTAAAAATTTATAACTCTCAACTATAGGTAGGTAACTGTACAATTTTATACTGACATTGGTACCACTATTTATTTACAGCTGTAGGACTTGCCTTAGTGCAAATTTTTAAAAAAATATATTTTATTCATTTTTTACAGAGAGGAAGGGAGAGAGATAGAGAGCTAGAAACGTCGATGAGAGAAAAACATCGACCAGCTGCCACTTGCACACCCCCTACTGGGGATGTGCCCGCAACCAACATACATGCTCTTGACCAGAATCGAACCTGGGACCCTTCAGTCCGCAGACAGACGTTCTACCACTGAGCCAAACCGGTTTCGGCTAGTGCAAATTTTTTTATAAATCCTGAACAAATTAACTGTTGATATACTTTGTTGGCAATACAAGCCAAAGGACAAGACAGTTATGATCTGTGTGGACTTGTTTTCTAAAAAGATATTTTAATAATCTGTACAACTTTAAAATGAAAAGTTTTAAAACATCTCTAATAATTTATTCCTCCTGGAAGGTAGAAGACTGAGGCTGATTTATTTCTTGAAGTCACAATTTTTGATTGTCTGTTAAGACAATACTATAATTTAGTTGGATGCTACAATTTACATGAAATAAGGAGAAACACTTTTTAAGAGTCTCTTGGAAATAAAATAAGAAAGCTGAGCGTGTGATCCTTTCGGAGTTCATAAGCGTGATGATTGGGTGTTTACTTGGCTGTGTCATGTGCCGCCCATTAACCTTGTTACGCCTTTGGCACATGACCCGTCTGACGTGAAAAAAGGAAAAAAAAAAAAAGAAGAAAGCTGAGTGTGATGCCTGTAAAGGAATTATTTGGCCTCTCTTAATAGATATGAAGAACCAGCTACCGCCCTCCCTAGAATTTTCAGGAAGACTTTTTAGTTTTTCCTCTTAGAATTTTTAACAGTTCTTAGTGACCCATCTAGCTTTGTTTGTCTTGTTTGATTTTTTGTTGTTTCAGTTAGTTCAGTGAAGTCAAATGTACTTGGAAGATTTTTGTTTAACTTGTTTTTGGTGATTGTCCAAGAGAGGCTCTGCCAGTAATGTAATTTACTAGGATAAACAGGCTATCCTATCTAATAAAGAGGTAATATACAAATTAACCATCACTCCAATACATAAGATGGCCGCCCCATGTGATCAAAGATGGCCATCAGGGAGGGCAGTTGTGGGTGATCAAGCCAGCAGGGGAGGATAGTTGGGGGAAACAAGGCAAGCAGAGGAGGGCAGTTAGGGGCAATCGGGCTGGCAGGGGAGGGCAGTTAGGGGTGACCGAGCTGGCAAGAGAGGGGTGACTGGGCCAGCAGGGGAGGGCAGTTGGAGGTGACCAGGCTGGCAGAGGAGGGTAGTTCGGGGGCAATCAGGCCGGCAAGAGAGCAGTTAGGTGTCGATCAGGCTGGCAGGGGAGTAGTTAGAGGGTGATCAGGCTGGCAGGCAGAAGTGATTAGGGAAAATTAGGCAGGCAGTCAAGTAAGCGGTTGGGAGCCATCAATCCTGGATTGTCAGAGGAATCCCAGATTGGAGAGGGTGCAGGCTGGGCTGAGGGACACACCTTCTGCCCCCTACCCGCCCCCGAATGCACGAGTTTCATGTCCTGGGCCTCTAATATCACTATATCCTTAGTTTAGAGGTTGTATTTCAAGTTTTTAGCATTATATCCTGCCATTATTAAAATAGCAAATATTTTCCCACCCCTTTTTCAAACATATCTTTATAAAGTGTCAACAGCTGCAACCTTCCATATCAAGCAACTGTTTTTTATACTTTTCTTTCAAATACAGTTTAGTTCTTTATCAAGAGTCTGTAAAGGGTCGGATAGTACCTAAGTCTTTGTGGGCCAAAATTATCTCTGTCATAACTATTCAACTCTGCCATTAATAGCATGAAGGCATCCATAGACAATGTATAAACAAATGAAGATGGCTGGCTTGCAATAAAACTTTATGAATGTTGACATTTTAGTTCTCATATAATTTTCATGTGTCACTAACTGGCCTGTTGACTTAAAAAAAAATTTAAATATAAACCATTCTTACACAGACTGCAGTTTGCTGCTCTTGTTCTGTATCAACTCTTAAGTTATTGACACTAAAATAGAAACATATAGTTAAGACCCTTTAAGTCCTGGCTCGGTAACAAAGTTAGTTAGAGCATCAACCTTTTACGCCAAGGTTGGGGGTTGTATCCCTGATCAGTGCACATACTAGTACAAGAACCAACCAATGAATGCATAAATAAGTGGAACAACCAACCAGTGTCTCCTCCTACCCCCCTCTCTCAAATTAAATTTTTTTAAATCCTCACCTGAGGATATTTTTTCATTGATTTTAAAAAATATATATTTTATTGATTTTTTACAGAGAGAAAGAAAGAGGGGATAGAAAGTTAGAAACATCAATGAGAGAGAAACACCAATCAGCTGCATCCTGCACACTCCCTACTGGGGATGTGCCTGCAACCAGGATACATGCCCCTGACCGGAATTGAACCTGGGTCCCTTCAGTCCACAGGCTGATGCTCTCTCCACTGAGCCAAACCAGTTTCAACTTTTCATTGACTTTTAGGGAAAGTGGAAGAGAAGGAAAGACAGAGAAAAACATCGATGTGAGAGAAACACATCTATTGGTTGCCTCCTGCATGGGTCCGGACCAGGTTTTGGGCCTGAGGAGGAGCCCTCCTTCCATTTCAACTGGAAGAAAGGTAGCCCTTAACCAGAACTGAACCCGGGACCCTTTAGTCCATAGGCCTACGCTCTATCCACTGAGCCAAACCAGCTAGGGCCAATTTTTTTTTTTTTTTTTTAAACCTTTTACTGGAGGTTCATGCTACTGATTAAAGGTTGGAACAATATACTCTAGCCCCTGCTGGGTGAAACCATCCCTGTGCATTCCTATATATTCCAGCCGTTCTCCATCTCTGATCTGTGATTTTTGTCTAAGTATTCAGGGCTGCCTGATAATTCTCTTCCTCTTATCTTTCTCTTCTGTCCTCCATAGAGACTGTGTTAAATAGTCTGTCCTCAAAAATCAAGCCCTGTTCACCTCCCTACCCATCTCATGTCCCAAGTAGATGTCCTGGCCTCGTATTCCATTTCCTAACTCTAAAACAGCAAACTTAACTACACATCAACCCATTCTTCCTACCTTTCTTCCAGTTGAAAGGGAAGGAGGGCTTACTTTGAAGTTGTTGTTCGACTACATAAATACAATGTGTATCAAGTGTCTTGATAATATGCTTTCAGAGTGGTTAGGAATTTCTCATAAATTTCAGATTGTTGATTGCCATCCCTTTTTGTTTATTCAGCGTGTTCTTTCTGTCATTTTAAGGACTGTGCTGTAGGAGAGGAGGAAGAGATTGGTTTTCCCCTTCTGTTGTGCCTTACTTGGTCTCTTTCACACCATTTCTTCTGCTCTTATTTGCAAACACCTATCCCTCTGCTTGTTTTAGTAATGTTAATGTTGGCTTAGAGTCCTGTCCTAAGCCCGCTTCTTTCGACTTCATACCTTCTCTAAAGAAATTTGTGCACTAGGCCTCTAGTCTGTAAAATAGAGTTAATAGTATGTTCCACCTCATATAATTGGGACAAGGATTAAGTGAATTGTATCTATAAAGCCCTTAGAACGCAGCAAGCACAATATACGTTTTTAAAAACTAAATTTAAATTTAATAAGTTTGAGATATTAAGGAGTTCAGGGATGATTTATATTTTGACTGCTCTAGACCCATTTTCCTCTCAAGTATAAGGAGTGTCATGCCAAAATCTATTCTATGTTTTAGTCTTAATCTCTGAAGGAACTAGTTGAAAAGAGCCATCCTCACTGAAGTGCTTGTTTTCAGTTGGCATTTTATAATCTTTGTGGTCCTTTCTACCCCTTTAAGTCACGCTCCTGAGTCTTGAACAACGAGGGTAGGAATTCAGCCTGGGACTACTAAAATGGGACA